AGAGAATGTACAGAGGGGGGCTACCAAATTAGTACCACAAATCAAGGATTTATCTTATGAGGAAAGACTAAGGAAATTACAGTTACCGACACTGGCGTACAGAAGATCTCGTGGGGGACCAAGTGAAAACATACAAGATAGCGTGTGGCATATATGACCAGGCATGTACAGCAGGTTTGTTCCAGATGAGGGAGGATGACACTACCCAGGGGAACACAAAGAAGATCTACAAAACAAGAGCGAGGCTAAATCTCAGAAGACATTTGTTCCCGAGTAGGGTTGTCAACAACTGGAATGGATTACCTGAGTGTGTAGTGAATGTGGAGACGGTGGAAAAGTTTGAAGCAAAATTAGATAAATACTGGAAAAATCAAGAACAAGTATATAATTATAGGGCACAAATATCCGCCACACGCAGCCACCGTCTGAGTAGAGACGAGGCTATTTAGCTGAAGTCACAGGCGTGAGCCTCTTCCAGATCATCTGTGAATATTCCATAAAATATCAGAATATAAAAAGATAGATTAAATACTAAAGAAATGTATTAACCTTTCCCATGTCCATCCATCAGCCAATCATCTACTTTGCTACAAACTGACTTTAGGCCTTAGTTACAAGGTTTGAGTGAACAGACTATACTGTAGTGATAGCAATGAAATAAATAGAAATAATGAACTAAAAATTTTGAACTACTGTATATTGCGGCTTATAAGACGACCTCCATTATTTCAATTGAAATTGTTGATCTAAGCCCATACCTGGCAGGTAAGTGGACCCCTAAACTGAGATTTGAAAGCTACGTCCTCAGTGATAACTAAACTTGCCAACACTTAATTTTAAACAATTCTCCCATGTCTTATTTTTTCAAGAAGGCAACTATTATTGAGCTTAGCCGAACGTTGGTGTTTTCACCGGTAGGCCTCAGTCACTCAGTACTGTACTGGGATGCAATTTAATTTCCAGCACTCACGTACCAGTTTTACCTAACTAGCATTTTCAAAACATTAAAATATCTTTCAGTGTTAACTACGGTTTTCTTACAAACAAATGTTACTAGGACACGCAAATGTGGTGTAAACAGATCAGCCACATCGGAGCAAATGTCTAACTGAGGCGAGTAGGCCTCATTTCATTCACAACAATACAGTTCCTACAGGTGCAAAAATATTTAAGATACACTGTACACTAGGTGAGTAATGGCAATTTACTAGTAAAAAAGTTTTTAAACTTAATAATTATGGCACACGATAAGCAAGGCATATTGTACATTAAATTGACAGTACAGGGGGTCCATGAGTTACGAACGTCCGACTTACGAACACCCGCCGATATGAACGAGGTCCCATAAAGTCAATTATTTTAAGTTTTGAAAGGTGTTGGTATGTGTAGGGGCTCCCATAATATGAATAGTGTAAACACTTACCATAGGCTGAGTTCAGTAACAGTTACCCTTCTGGAAAATACTAGTTAGATAAAACTTGTTTGTTAGTGCTCGAAATTAAGTTGCAACGCAGTACTGTACTGAGTAACTGTGCCCTACCGGTACGGTAAAGTGAAAATCTAATGCTAGCGGCAGAGCCGTACTTAGAGGCTGACATTTTATACCTGCTGTATGAGATGACCCCTAGGCCGCAATACTCGTACAGGTATATGGTCTCTGTTTCAACAAGTGAACCAAGAATTAGCTTCGGCTAGTGTTATTCTTTAACATCATCTTAAACCTCAAACTACCCTTGGAAATATTGGTATTGTACATTAATATTGTTTAAAAAATTAAAACAAAACCTAGAACAAAACATCCAAAAATTGTGGGACAAATAAAGCATTAGAAATTATAAAAACAATTAAGCCAGCAATGCATGGAAGGTGTTGTGCTATAGGATAACTTGGCTGAGGCAGTGAGTCATATTTTGTACATACTGTAGTATAATTTAAAAAATACAAAAATAAATAAATAATATTAATAATAAAAAAAAAGGCCCTGTGGTAAGTAACAATACTGTACTCCCACATTCGTACACATGTGTAGTATCTTGCGTTATTTAATGGGAGAATGACAAGCACATGGTCGATCTGGCTGGGCGTTTATTCTCTGTTCTTGGTTACTACGTGCCTAACACATTTCATGTTTACACAAGCCTAAACACTTTCTGACTTTGGTAAGAAGTAACATAATATATAATATATATATTCAATAAAGGCAGCATATAAACATACATATATATAACACTATTTCTCCCTTTCAAAAGAGAGCATGGCTGCTACAAATCCTAAATAAACAAAACTTACAGAATTACATATGGCAGGGAAGAAGGGAATAGAAGACAAAAATATAACTTCCTAACTAAACAGTTTTGAAAGGCCTGTTCACAATTCAGATAATTAGAGGTCTTTTAGGACTATTCCCTCCGTCAAGTTTTACAGGGGTTTCACTTGCACTCTGTGCATTATCAGTGACAGACATATCATCACTACAATCAGTTGACACAGTGAGTAGATGCTGGGAAACATCATCTTTGACATCATCATAATGATGATGATCATCTGAAACTGTGTCAAGTTTATCATCATGTCCTGGCGCTACATTCATCTCGTCATGTGCCTGAATGATGTGATCCACATGAACATATCTCTACTCATTATGGAGAAATCAGCTGCACCATTAGAGGCAGGATGAAAGGGTGGGGTCAGTACATGCTTTACACCGTTGAATCTCATGAAGTTTTTAAACTCTGATGATTGGAATGGAGGACCATTGGCAGAAACTACCTCTTCTGGTACTCCATGTTCGGCAAATATTAATCTTAATTCATCAATGGTGCTACCAGCATTAGTACTGTACATGTAATTGTACCGAAAGCTGATAAATCTGGTAGACTATGTGGTGATTATAAAGTTACCATTAATCAAGCTGTTGAGGATGAGCAAGATCCCTTACCCACATCTCAAGATTTGTTTGCTGCACTAACAGGTGGAACCATTTTCACTAAGTTAGACTTGTCCCAAGCATATGCTCAGGTCTCTGTTGATGCTGAAAGTCAACAGTGCCTTACCATCAACACTCATAAAGGATTGCATAAGTTCAAAAGGTTGCCTTATGGTGTTAAAAGTGCACCAAAGTTATTTCAGTGCATCATGGACAAAATTCTTGTGGGTCTTCCCAATGTGTTATGTTTTCAGGATGATGTCCTTATTGTTGACAGTGACATCCAAAATCATGACAAAACCCTAGCCACAGTATTAGAAAGATTGTTGGCACACAATGTCAAGCTCAACAAGAGCAAATGTTCATTCCTAGCTAAAGAAGTAACTTATCTTGGCTACAAAGTGAATGCAGAAGGGCTGAGACCTGTAGAAGATAAAGTAGGAGCCATAGTAAATTTACCTGCTCCAAAAAATGTCAGTGAATTGAAAGCTTTCCTAGGTATGATACAGTATTATTCAAGGTTCTTGAGTGGACTTTCATCAGTTTTAGCCCCTCTGCATGAACTATTAAAGAAAGGGATACCATGGAAATGGAACAGTGCAACTCAGAAGTCATTTGAAGATTGTAAAGCTGCTCTGTCTAGTACTGATGTTTTGGTCCACTATGATACCAGTAGAACACTAAAGCTTGCTTGTGATGCATCGGGCTATGAATTAGGTGCTGTCATAAGTCACATAATGGATAACGGTGAAGAAAGACCCATTGCATATGCCTCGAGAACTCTTACCCAAAGCGAGAAAAATTATGCACAAATAGAGAAAGAGGCTTTGTCTATCATATTTGGAGTAAAGAAATTTCACCATTATCTATATGGGAGGAATTTTGTTTTAATAACTGATCACAAGCCTCTCTTGGCAATTTTGGGTCCTAAATCACCTGTTCCTACACTTGCTGCAGCAAGAATGCAGAGATGGGCTTTGATATTGTCGGCATATGACTATGAGATACAGTACAGACGTTCAGATGATCATTCCAATGCAGATGCTTTGTCAAGGTTGCCATGTAGTGGATCAAATGATGGAGTAGAGCCTAAGGTTTATGCTGTAACCATGATAGCAGAAGATTTTCCAGTCACCTCCAGAATGATTGCTCATGAAACTAGGAAAGATGTTGTATTAGGAAGAGTCCTGGAGTATACACAAAATGGATGGCCAGAGATTTGTCCATCCTTAGACTTTCAACCGTATCATTTAAGGAGATGTCAATTATCAGTAGAACAGGGATGTGTGTTGTGGGGTGTTAATTCCACAGTGTTTTAGAGGGCAAATTTTGAATGAACTGCATTTTGAACATCCAGGTATATGTGCTATGAAAGCACTGGCCAGAAGTTTTGTGTGGTGGCCTAAACTGGATGGTGAAATAGAAATGATGGTACGTGAGTGCTCTGTTTGTCAGAATGTTATGAGTATGCCACCCAGCACACCTTTGAAAACCTGGAAATGGCCTACCCGTCCCTTCCAAAGAGTACACATTGACTTCTGTGATAAGGGAACAGACAAATTTCTTGTATTAATTGATAGTCATTCAAAGTGGATTGATGTTAAGCACATGTACAGTACTAATGCTGGTAGCACCATTGATGAATTAAGATTAATATTTGCTGAAGATGGAATACCAGAAGAGGTAGTTTCTGACAATGGTCCTCCATTCCAATCATCAGAGTTTAAAAACTTCATGAGATTCAACGGTGTAAAGCATGTACTGACCCCATCCTATCATCCTGCCTCTAATGGTGCAGCTGAGAGATCAGTTAGAATTGTAAAGGAAGCACTTTCCAAGCAGGTAATTCAAGGAACTGTAGGAAAATCAATGAAACACAGACTAGCAAATTTCTTACTCAGATACAGAACCACGCCACATAGTGTGACAGGATGTACTTCTGCAGAGTTAATGGTGAAGAGACAGTTGAGAACAAGATTAAGTTTAGTTAAGCCAAGTCTGTTTGAAGTTGTAGAGAGGAAACAAGCTCAACAAAAAATGTATCATGATAAGAGTTCCAGTGAAAGAGTGTTCAAGGTAAATGATAGGGTGAGAGTTAGGAATATGGCTAAAGGTTATGGTACTGTACATGCAAAGTGGATAACTGGTGTCATTGACAAGGTATGTGGATCTAGGACTACATGCTATTTTTTTTTCATGGGATTGCCTTTCATAATTTGGATATCAAATGATTCAAATCTGAGCATACCACTTGTTAACTTTTTACAATTCAATCCCTGGCAATACTTGATGCATCATGGAAATCAAAGAAGAGAGTTAGTGTCATAGAATGAGTGACAATAAGAGGAAATATAATCTGTATTAAATCATGTCATTTCACTCACAACCAAATTAAAAAATTGCAACCTCCAGTAAGTGTGCTTTGACACTTCTACAACTTAGAAAAACTTAACCTACATAATCAATCGCACCACTTTGACGAAACGATTTGCATTCATCCAAGAAATCCAAAATAAGTTCTCCAACTGGTGTGGGATGTGTAAGGTGAATGTGATGTTTACCTGGCATCTCATGAAAACAAAAATATTTGCAGTCTTGCTTAAATGCAGATAACATAGCTTTAATCAGCTCTGGTGAGTCATGATGGTAATCACTCTCTGTTGCCTGTAAAGAATAAACAAAATGTGTCACCTTTAAACATTTCAAGAGAAGACATGGAACACATGGGTAATGCCCTTTATTTACTAAACCTGACACCTAAATTCAAAGTGTGGGTAAAACACTAAGATGGAAACAGAAAGACTTAACTAATGAAGCAAATTTATGGAATTGTGCAGTTTTAATTTGCAATATGGGTCATAATGCTTAATGCACACAAGTTGTAAACACTTCAACTCAAATAAATGTGGAAGCATTTAGTATGGGATATACACTAATTGGGTTGATACCTATAAAGTGTCACGATCTGGGAAAATTTATTTTACAAGGAACTAGTCAAGACCGTACCACTAGCAAATAGTTCCTGTTACCTTTTTATTTTTCTATAAGTTACAGTGCATCAATCCTTTGGCCATTTATGAACCATTAAACTTATAAAAATTCCATCCATCTATTTTAGCCCTTTTATGCCCTATAGCATCACCAATTTTCTATAAGGTTAATACCCATCACCCTTTTACAGTACAGGTATTGGCAACTGTACATCACAATCTACCTTACAATTCCAAATTCTGAACATTGATCTTTGTTCCCCAAATTAATAGACTTCTGTGTATCCCTTAAGGGCAACTCCCTAGCAGAACTGATGATGGTACAATGTGTAGATAAAATTTTATTTAGAGGCAATAAAAATGGAAATTAAGACAGACAATGCCTTATCATTATACATAACTCCATAAAGCAAGTGTACAGAATAAAGAAGTACACTGTACTTATCTAGCATATGTGGAAACTAATTAGATAATATTATGTATAACAGAAATTCCTCTGAGCCATAAAATATTAGTGTACAGCACACACAATACTGAGACCATATGAATTATTAGCAATGAAGGCCATACTTGACACAACACCTAAGTATACCCCCAAAAAATTCAAGGCCGTTTTCTTTCAAACTGTATACTGTACTGTAATATAAAGAAACTTTGTCATTAAATAAAACCTCTTACCTTGATAAGAAGAAGAGGACATGTAATTGATTTTGCAAACCCCATCCACATCTCAGAGCTGATGAAGCCAACGAAATACACTTTGGCTCGAAGGTCCCGTGTAAGAATCAATCCTTTGCCATTTTCAGCCCTCCTTGCACCTCTCTGCAGGAGTATTCTTGCACCTCGGTCATCAAGAGATTTACTTCCTTCCATTGTCTTCCTAACAAGTTCTTCCTCATCATATACCAATGCAGGTTGCGTAGCATTCTTTTCATTATCAAAATACTGAAGAAAGGATTTTTTATACCGAGAGGCAAGTTTTTCAGGTGGATATGACCAAGGTTTTATCATATCAAGACAAATGAATGCCTCTATGTCTTCTGGGAAGACTGATGTGTACATTATCCCAACTACTGCCCCCATACTGTGTCCAAGGAGAGTAAAGTGATTCCAGCCAAGGGAGATCACTGCCTTCTTCACAGCACCTAAATACCCTCTAGGATCATAGATAAAACCAGGGGGGAAATGATCAGAGCGGCCATGACCAGGGAGGTCAAGGGAGACAATTCTCATGTCCTTGGGAAAAAATGGAGCGATGAGGTCGAATGTGTTGGCATTGTCAAGCCATCCGTGAAGTCCTGTTAGGAAAATTGGATTTGTAAATTCTTATGAAGAGCTTCCAAATACTAGGCCTGATAAATGATAATTTATAATATACTGTACAAAAGTAAGTAGACGAGACCTGAGTTATTTAAAGAAATTAAACATCTAACTGACTGTGAAGACTTATAAATACTCTCTCAGCTTCTAACACTGCCAAAAGAATGGACACTTAAGATTTTTGGAAACTTATACACCATTTTTGGCAAGGATTTTATAAATGTAGGCTTTCATTTGTGGGATTTTTCAATTTTGGATTTTGGGACTGGAGATCATGTTCTGTACTACAGGAACGCCTCTGATAACGACAGTTCTACTTACGACGATTCATATTATTTTAAGACCCTGGTTAATTTCGGACCCAATTCAATTTACACTATTATTTTCTTCGTATTTACGACAAAAATAGAATAAAAAATAAAATAAAATTACATTTTCATATAAATAATAACTAAATCCCGACATGTATTATACAAATGAAAAAAAAAAAAAAACACGCCTTGCACACTGAGACTGCCGGGCTTGTTAGTGGTGACGCCAGCATCACTAATATAAACAGTCGCAGCTTGGCGGCCTTTTGTTTTCAAGCATCTGAACAGGAAATGGAGAAAAACTTTCTCAGGTTTCTTACGGAATTTATGCGTCCCTATTCAACATGAGCAAGAGAGCAAGTGATGGTAGTGCTGGTTCAAAAGCTAAAAGAAAGTGTATAAGCTTAGCCGAGAAACTAGATGCGTTAAAACGATATGAAAAAGGTGAGAGGTCTGTGGATACTATATGGAGCAAGCAATGAACATTTTTCTAAAATGGCTCCATTAGCAGAAGGAAGCATTAAAATTTACAGGGACATGAAAAATTGCATATGAACTCTACATAAAGATGTATAATGAGAAAAGAAAGCAGCTGTGCAAGGTTCTTTCGACAGCTTTATTATTCGAAGGCCTAAACCATCAACTTCGGCTACACCATCAAATTCAGCATCATAAGCAGCTTCAGAAACAACTTCAGGTTCACCAACAGTTTCAGCAACAGCTATGATATCTTTATGGAAAGCTACAGTTTCAGCCAGAGTTGAACCTACAGCTTTAGCCTGAGTTGAACCTACAGCTTCAGCCAGAGTTGAACCTGATGACTTTGTCATCTGAGTAAAAACTCACAAAACACTGGCTGTCCTATGTTTTAGACTTTACCACCACTGGTGAGTAGAATTTTTGTTTTACATTCATAAGTATTATTTAAAACATATATTATGAAGTGGTGCTTTCATATTCTTATGGAGAGAAATGAACATATGTTTTCACATATACGCAATTACAAATGTTGGTATTCCCAATCCGTCTAGCTTTATTTTCGTTGCCATTAGTGGTTAGCTACTTCTATTGTTCCATTTATTAACATTAAATAACATTACTTAAAACATAATATTCATTTTTTTACATTAATTGTACCACATCTACAACCAGGGTCTTATTTTCTTCAGTTACTTATGTAGAACCATTATCACGGGTGTAAACACTAACGAAAACAATGCCGTCCCATCTCCTCTTGTGTGACCATATTATTATTGATTTATATTGTAAAAGGTGCATTCATAAACATTATTTAAAGAATATAGTTTGCATTTTTCATTAATTTTATTGTTTTGGGGGAAAAGAGGGTAAAAAGCCATACAAAAGATATGAAAGGTCAGATTTTGGAATGCATCTCATTATTATTGCTTTATTTTAATGGTAATTAATGATTCACAATACAATGATTCACCTTACACTGCAATATTGGAGGACACATTACCGTCATTATTCGAGGCTTTACTGTAATGCTTTTTCTTCTCTTACAATCAGGGTACTTTTTACTCCTTCTTAATGTCAATAGTTTAGGACAGTGTTAAGGTTCTTTTCACATGTGGTCATCATATAGTCCATATGAGAGATAATATTACTGGTAGGCATACAACTCACCTTTACCCTCCCTTAAATACAAAACTCTCTTATTGTAACCCCCTTTAAAACTACCATAAAGGAGCATCAATGGCAAATGCCAAACTTGATGACATTAAGGCCAAAGCTACTGCTGCAATAAGTGTAAACACTGAGGCAGATGGACTGACTAGAAGGGATGCTTTGCTGCACTATATGATAGATTTAAATAGGTGAACTCATTGAATAATCATGAGTTCACCTAGCAGCAACACTCAAACCCTGATTGATTTTCATTCAGATGAATTCACTAAGTTCTTGTAAGAAGGACTTCATCATCATCACTGTTTTATCATCATTTCCCACAATTGAATTGGTTAGCTGTAATTACCTGATGGACAGACTACTGTGTTCTTACCTAAGAGGTACCTTGGTCCTGAACCTCTTGCTTTCCCTCGCAAAGTTCCCCATCCTATGTCAATCTCTATTTCTTCCCATTCCCAAGCATCTTCCACTATCCTTTGGTGACGTTTGGTAGGACTTAAGAGATCAATCTTACTTTCTTCGCCCTGTGGATCTTGTGACTGTTCATTTTCAATCTCACTCATGTGTACTGGAGACACTGACATCCCTCTTTGTTATGAAGTCCTGTGAAATACAATGTTATTACAGTCCACTTATAACCAATCAGTCTTTCAGAATGAAGTTCAATGTACAATACAGTACTTAATGATATGAAAGGGTGGTTGAGTGAATATAATGTGCCTACTGTCTTAAAGATTGCTGGTTTGTGTATGTGGCACCCCAGGTCCACTCAACTGTGAATGGGTACCTAACTTTAGAATTGAGAAAGTGAATATAGCTGAGTATAAAGTCGGCCATACTGCCTCCTTGTGTATGAAAAAACGTTTATACTTCAGTGCACAGTACATGTACCTGCATTACCCCTAATGGGCTGTCAGGCCTATAGAACACACTTTCACAGCATAAAATAAAAATACTGTAATGTATGTGTGAGGAACTAGCATACAGTATTAGGATTAATATGATCAGTGTGGATAGATGGACAGATGAAGATACTGGAAGACAGGAAGAGAAACAAACAAACAAGGGAACATAAATACTATGCCCCTACTTCACAGAAAGGCCATAAAAAAAGAAACAAGTGTTTCCCCCTGCATCTGGTAATCTGTGGGTGGACATATCTCTCACTTTAATTGATACAGGAAGTGAGCCGCTTTCATTAAAGTTTTGTGAATACCTCGAATGGATGACCCATTAAACCTTGTATACATAGATACCAGGGTGTTACTGGAGATGAATTAAAAGTCGAGGGTAAAGTAGTAATAACCGTGCAGGTAACCCCACAGATGAAAGTCAGACATCAAACTATTTTTGTTGATGATAGCTACCTTGATGCTAGGATGTTGTTAGGAGTAGAACTCCTAGACAGATTTAGATTAACATGGGAATAGAGAAAGATATTTTCATTTGGGCTGGCCATTCACACGTATGTGGGAGAGTGTTGATGAGGGAGCACATGCAAGGAATTAAACATGTTAATAAATTACCATTAAAGTCTGGCTTACCTTGTCCACCAAGGTTGACTAGTTTCCATATTGATAAGAAAACCATCTTATGATGTCACAGTTCACAAATCATAACAATAAAAATGAAAGTGAAAGAATGCCAAATTTTGAGTGTCAAGTTTACACATAGAAGTTTTAACCTACAACCCGAGTTGTGTGTGAGAGTAGTACAGCCTGACTCATGCATATATTTGCCTCTAAGTAACTTTGCATGAATGCCAGTGTATTTGAGATTGGGCACTGTGATAGAAGAATAGGAGTTGATTCTGGAGAATTTTTTTTTTCATATTTAGATGCATAGGGAAGCAACTTGGGTCATATTCAGCATGTCTACAACGAATTGTGTAAAGTCGATTCATCAATTGAAATATTCCTATGTGCACCTCATCACCTACCGTAACCATACAAACAGAAGGGGAGAGATCCTCAAACAAATTAAGAGTAATTTTAAGTGATGATAAGAGTAGCACCAGTTTCATGTGTAATTTGTGATGGGATTCCCAATAGTCCAGTAAAGAAGTCAGATATATTCAGGAGATTTCTAACAGCATGATACCGGAGACGCTAGACATGAAAAGTCGAGTTAATTAATTAGTAAACAACAGTGGCCCCCATTTAAATAGGCTAAAGATGTAATTAAAGATATGATTGTAGATATGAGGGATAGGCACATTATTGAACCATCGACTGCTGCATGGTTATCCCCCATTGTTCTAGTAACAAAGTCCAATGACTCAAAGTGTATGTGCTTAGACTTTCAAGCTGTTAATAAGCATTTGAAAATCAACAAACAACCATTGCTATGAATAGGTGAGCAAGTAGAGAAAGATGCAGGAAATAAGTATTAAACCACATAAGATTTGAAGAATGTGTACTAGCAGGCAATCCTGAACTTAAGTAGCCGAGACCTGACTACTTTTAGTGATGAATATAATCTATGAAAGTTTACACATCTACATTTTGGTCTTTCAGCCAGTCCTGACATTTTCACTATTGAAGTAAATAGAATGTTAGATCCATTAGCAGTTGAAGACTGGGTACGGAACTATCTCGATGAAGTAATAGTAAGGGCTAATGATTTCTCAACCTTGCTGGAAAGACTAGCCAGTGTTTGATAGATTTGTGGAAATGGGTATTAAATTAAATCTATCTAAATGTCAGTTTGGCCACAAGCAAATTATGTTTTTGGCGGAGTTGTAAAAAGTACTGGAATTTGTTACTTACTTTTACTTTTATCCTCTTCACCACTGATCGGCTCGATAGCCGCTTGGGCGATCGGTCACGTTTCTGATTACTTTTCCTTTTCATTTATTCTCTTCGCCAAAAGATCAGCTCGCTAGCCGCCCGGGCGATCGGTCACCCCAGATATGAGAGCAGTACTTCAAGTTAGGATGAATGAATCAACTTATATACTTGAAGCAACTGCTCAGGAGTGAAGTAGCTACGGCATCTGTACAGCATTCCCAACTTTCGGGAGGCAGCTTTAGCAATGTTAAGGATGTGTGGGGACGTAGTGTTGGGAGGAAGGAAGACCACTTTTACGTTGGGGTGACGATCCATAAGTAGGGGCGAGTGTCCTGGTGCGTTGTCAAGGAGCAACAAAATGTTGAATGGAACATTCTGTTGCTCGCAGAATTTCTTGACGTCTGGAACGAAACAGTCGTCAAACCAGGAGAGGGACAGAGCAGAGAACATCCACGCCTTACGTGCAGTTAGCCAGTGGACATTAAGCTTGTTCATGTCCATTTTCTTGTAGGCGTGCGGCTTGCGGGCTGTGTGAATCACCGATAACTTTGGTTTACAGGTACCGGAGGCATTGGTGGTAAAGAGGACGGCGATGCGCTCCTTCTGCAACTTCCGACCCCGAACCTTGCTGGCAGACTGGACAACGAAGGTCTTGGTAGGCAGCTTTTTCCAAAAAAGGCTGGATTCGTCCATATTGAACACCTGGTTGTCAGTGAACTGCCCTTCCTCCATAACCTCACGTAAGAACAGAGGAAAATCTCTAGCCGCCACACGGTCAGCACTCGCTTCTTCACCACCAATGTTGATGTTGGTGATTTTGTTCCTCTTCTTAAGCCTTTGCTGCCAACCAGAGGAAGCATTGAATGGTTTGGGCTCTGCAATTCCCATCGTATGTGACACTGCTGCGTACAGTTCACGTGCGTACTCTTGAACGGATCGCGTGTCCACCGCCATGTTGAGTCGCGCCTGACGAATCAAGTAACTCACCAGCAAATTTTCCACCTTTAGCAGCACCTTGTTCTGGGAATACTTCATCATTGAAGCACCTGCAGACTTTGTGATTGTCATGTGCTCTTTGATCTTGGCTGCATCCTTCTTAATAGTACGAATCGTAGATTCGTTCACTCCATGCTGGCGCGCAAGATCAGCTTGACGTGTTCCTTTCTCCAAATCTTGAACGATCTGGTATTTCACTTCGTAGCTTAAGGAACGTCGTGTCTTCTTTGGCTTAGGGCGGCTGGGTCCAGGTAAGGAAAGGTTTCTCTCTGGTGGCGGTGGTCCGGCGGAAGCCATTTCACAGAACAATGGATGCACGTATACACGGTGTGGCCTTGAGGGATGAAACTGCCGCGGCTAGGTCAAGCGTCGTCTTTCCTCCCTCCCTCCCTCCCCGGGTGGACACGTCATATTACGTTAAACCAATTACAGCTAGCAGCAGAGGGGGGTAGGGATGCATGGCCAATCACAGTCCGATATGTCATATGACGTCAGTGATAACGCAACAGACATGCACTGCGCAACCTTACCGCGCGGCTTGCCCAGGCGGAGGTGGAGGAGGGAGCAGGCGGGTGGGGCGAATCTAAAAATAGCGTCGAGCCAGACACTCTGCGCGTATATGGGTAGATGAACCGCGTTAAGTGAAAGTTCGGTTCTGGCGAGGCACCGCGTATATGAGAAATCGCGTAAAGTGAAACCGCGTAAAGCGGGGTACAACTGTACATGTGTGCACACAAAGTTATTTTTCAGTTCTTATGAAGGTTGTGATGATTTGTAGGGCAGTGGATTATTCTGTTAGCTTGTGTGTGATTGATCATCAGTTCATTGTAGGATAACCTATAGTTTCACTTTGTTCTACTCACATTCTTTTCTTGTCAGCTCTAACATCATTTAGTTCATCATAATGCTCTCAAAAGAATCATGCTGGGTGACAACATTATAAACCCATATTGTATCTATGAGTATCTAAAGAGTAGCAACATTGTAATGAAACAACGTTGTACAGGATGACGCAGTGCGAGGACTGGCTGCACTACCACGAAATAGTGAGGAGACAAAGGGAAACTTCAATGCAACTAATTCATGAGGAGGAGGATGAGAAAGAATTCCACAACAATGACGTACAATACTGTAGAGTACAAAAATATTTTTACGATTAAATGTGTACCAATAATAATTTTATTAATTCAATTACAGTACAGCCTCTCCTCGACTTATGATGGGGTTCCGTCCCGACGACCAGGTCGTAAGTTGAAAAGGCGAAAATAATATAGAAATTCTCAGCATCACAAGAACTCTCACTTTTATGCTTGCCAGCCATTTTAAAGGGAATTACAAAAAAAAAATTTGTCAGTTCACAGCGCAATCACTAACGTCGGGACTCGAAAATACATACTAATGTGAAAATATTTTATACGACCATGGCCGTCGTATGTCCGGGTTGTCGTAAGTCGACATATTATATGTCATAAGTCGAGGAGAGACTGTACACTGTATTAATGATTAATGGTAGTGTTAGTGTAACAACGCCAAACACACTCATGTACAGTATTACCCCGCTTTACACGGTTTCACTTTCCACGATTTTCTCATTTACGCGGTACCTTGCCAGAACCGAACTTTCACTTTCCGCGGTGCATCTACTCATATACGCGGTGAAGTATAATTTTACATTTTTTATTTAGCTCATAAAATTCATACAAATTACCCGGCCAGAATATAATTTACATTGCTGGAATTCTTACAATATGATGATCATTTTGAATATAAACATCATGGATTTTGCATTAGACATACAAATTTTAAATCTAATGTAATAATTTGGTTTACACAAAACAAATATTTTATCCTTTGTGCAGAATATATGAAGTTTACATTCAAAATATTCCCTGAACTGCAAGGAATCCAGAAATGTCAATTATATTATCCTAACTTTAGTCTGAGTTATTATTTATAACTAAAAATGTAAATATACTATTTTCTCCCAAAGCTTCTCTGGTAGGGAGGGAAGGTGGGGGGTGGGGGGTAGGGAAGGAGGGAGTGAGGGACCGACCCAGCTAGGGCGGAGTATTTTGATTGACAGATAGTGTCCTTGAAGAATATTTCTTTGTTTATTTACTGAAGATATATGTTTTAGCTCATAAAATTCATACAAATTACCCAGCCAGAATATAATTTACATTGCTGGAATTCTTACAATATGATGATCATTTTGAATATACACATCATGGATTATGCATTAGACATACAAATTTTAGATCTAATGTAATAATTTGGTTTACATAAAGCAAATATTTTATCTTTTGTGCAAAATATATGAAGTTTACATTCAAAATATTCCCTGACCTGCAAGGAATCCAGAAATGTCAATTATATTATCCTAACTTTAGTCTGAGGTATTATTTATTACTAAACGTTAAAATCTAGTGTTTTCACCCAATCATTTCTCAGAGAGGTAGGAGCTAGTGAGCTGGGAAGAGGGGGGGGGGGGATTTGAGTCCATTATTTGAATGGACATTAACCTGGCGACTGTATTTCTCTTAAATATTAATTGTGTGAGCATACCATCATAAAATATAGATGTTATTTTTACTACAACATAGGTATTGTGTCGGAAAAAGTGGAGTTTGGGGGTCGGGCCAGTCTCTATTGGAATTAATCCCATATGTTCTGTTCACTTTACGCGGTTTTCACTTTCCGCGGTACCCTGTGGGTTCAATTGACCGTGTAAATCGGGGTATTACTGTACAGTACTAGCCACTGCCACCAGCCACTACCTGGAACTACCAACACCAACTGTATAATTAATACATACCTGCATTGAGGTTGGAAAATTTTTATATTACAGGTATTACTGTTTATTATCAAAATGTTCAACAAACCCATGCATTATTGATCATACAGTACAGGTATGTTAATGACCATACTGGATGCCAGAAAAAACAGTTTAGTGGCAATGTTCATACGTATTAGTATAATCTCTTGGAACACAGAATTACTGTAAACATTGCAGTTAAACATTATATTATAATCCCAGACAAACCTTAGTCTCCACTATACCACCATATTCCAGCGTGTACATGCTATGTGAAAAAAATAATGACAACATTATCATCATTAGCTAAAGAGTTTATGGTAATATGAACATCATGCAACTTTAACAGTTATTATGCAATATTTTGCATAACCTTATGTGTACACACCGGCACTGTACTTGTATTCTAAAATTTAGTATAACTCAAACAATTTTATAATTTTATAATAGTTTTTAACATAAATTGAACAGAATTTGGGGGGTACCGTATGCAATTACCCATAATATCTAGAAAAATTAATGTTATATATTGTTCCATGCTGCTTGACTGGCTAGACCATATTGTCCACAAGACAAAGGAATATTTTTTAATCTAGATCCACACTTCAAAAAGCTCTCCAGCAATTTTTTGCATTTTTAAGTGATTTACCCTTTTAGACATTTGGGAAAGTGATCAGCAAGTGAAATGGCAGCAGTACTGCTCTCAGTGATAGGATACCCCACAAAACCAACACTTTACATGTTAAATTGAAGGTGATAAAGCTCTGTAAAGCTGGTGGAGACAATGGCCCTCAGTAGAGTTTTAAGACTAACTGAAGTAACATGTGGCAACTATTCAACAAACTATTTTTGTTTTTTATTAAATGTTCCCAAACAATATAATATAATATACAGTAATATAATATAAAATAATATAATATAATATAATATAATATAATATATAATAAAATATAATATACAGTGTACAGTATATATATATATACTGTATACAGTGAACCCTCAAAGATTCGGAAGATTTGGACAAAAAAAAATGGGGGTTCTGGGCTAAGAAACCTCCTTACGAAGCATTCCCAAAACAATGTGAAGGTAGTTTTAGGCTTAAAGTTTTTAACTTATAAAATATCACAGACTAAACTTAGCAGAATGTAACTTGCATTGCTGAAATCCTTGCAAGATAGCGAATAATTTAAATACTGTACTGTATAAACATTACATAGGGATAGGTAATCCCTGTTCACACACAGAGGTCCAGGGTTCGATTCCCAACTAGTATAGTATTTCCACGCTAACCTGGACCGTAAACCACACCCCTCTTCTATACTAATAGCTGATTGGTTCATGGAAAATTCAAACTAAATGTGTTCACAATTGGTAAGCAGACCTGTTATTATCTAAAATAATGTTAAATATCAGAACAATCAAAATGAAAAAAAATTTCAAGGCATTAGAACTTCAGAGAGGATGTTAGAAAATTTTAAATATTTATCATAAAAGCTTGATATAAATATGAGCTTATACACGCGCAATCTGAGGGGAGGTAAAGCGCTCGGAGGAACCAGTCAGCTATTTGTAGCTACAGACGAGGGGTGGGGCTTATGGGCCAGCTTGGCGTGGAAAGGGTACAGTCAAGCATTGTTTGTATATATGGAAGTCTGTGTGCTATATGAACAAATGATATATATATATATATATATATATATATATATATATATATATATATATATATATATATATATATATATATATATATATATATATATATATATATATATATATATATATATATATAGTATACCCAGCTCCTCCCCGACTTACGTCCACCCACACTTACGACCTGCCTCACTCGTACCAAAATTTGGTCAAATTACGTATTTTCGAGTCCCAAAATCAGTACACAGACAAAATTTTCATCTATAATTCACTTTAAAATGGCTGGCAAGTTTAAAAGTGAGTGTTTTGTGGTGCTGAGAAGAAAAAGAGACCCCCATTTTAGATTTTTTATGTATTATTTAAGCATTTACGACTTACGACCTGGATGTCGGTCTCTAACCCAGTCGTAAGTCGGGGAGCAGCTGTATATGTATACACTGTGCAGCATCATATTTTTCAAGTTAATCCACATTTATGTTATACATACATAGATAACAAATCTATGAATCCTTTCAGGTTAAGTTTATTATAAACTATACAGAGTACAAGTACACTATTTACTGTCACAATAATTTATTTAATTAATGCAATAAGGTCACAATATAAAAAAAAAATTGCAAAGTGTTTGGCAAATAATATACAGTATTTTCAAAGGGAACCCAATTTTTCAATTATTTTCAATTTAAAGAAAATACAGAGAAATTGTTTCCAGTAGAGTACAGTATAGTATTGTGAAAATATACAGTGGTTATCATATCACAATACCTGTACAGTAGTGTAGAGCATGCCCTGATAATTTGCGGATTTTTAATTCACGGACCTCGATTATTTGAGGAGTTGACTTGAGGGTAGACTCACATTTTTTTCAAAATTTGTTGTCTTGTTTCTGATTACTTGTGAGAATAATTTCCCATTATTATTTATTTGTATGGATTTTGTGTACATCTGTGTGTGTGTGTGTGTGTCTACACACATATATATATATATATATATATATATATATATATATATATATATATATATATATATATATATATATATATATATATATATATATATATATATATATATATATATATATATATATATATATATATATATATATATATATATATATATATATATATATATATATATATATATATATATATATATATATATATATATATATATATATATATATATACGGTATATACAATACAAGTAAAAGAAATAATTGTCCCAAGGGCAAACACATAAATGGAATACACATTTCGTTGCACACGAGTAAAAATGTACCCCCTTCCTGGTCAGCAAATGTTATTCATGGATTTGGCTATTCGCGGCCATTATGAGAACCTAACCCCCGCGAATTTTAAGGGCATGCTCTATACAGTAGGAGTACAGGTACTATTGGCGGCACACCTGCTTTTATCACTGAACGTTGCCAACCCCTCTCTCCGAGGTCTGAACCCAGAACTCGGAAGTGTGAATTCGAAACACTCGCTAGTGAGCGGGAGGAGGAGCAGAGGGGTGTGTCAGGGTAATTGTCTTTCTATCGGGAGGAGACAGGATACTGGGGGCGGGGACGGACAGTGGATAACAGTTGGGAGAGAGTACAATGCAGGATAACTTTTTGACAAGACTGTACTGATTAAGTTTTCTCATCAGATTAGAGTACTCGTCTAGCTCTAGGCAGAAGAAAATACTGCAGTTACAACAGGATGAGAGGGAGAGAATTTATGTTCTAAATAAGGTGTTCCTTTGCAAAAGGGAAAATTTATGAACAAATGGATTATGAATCTATATCTTGTAGAAGCAGCAAAGTTTTGTATCCAGTACCCAGGTCCCGAGGTTGCCGGACTAGAGAGGTACAACCTGTATATATATATATATACATATATATATACATGTATGTGTATATATATATATATATATATATATATATATATATATATATATATATATATATATATATATATATATATATATATATATATATATATATATATATATATATATATATATATATATATATATATATATATATATATATATATATATATATATATATATATATATATATATATATATATATATATATATATATATATATATATATATATATATATATATATATATATCATCAAATTTGCAATTTATGGTGCAATGCAATACAGCTGTTGTTTGAAGGCTTAAAGTAATAAAGTTTATTGTATGTTTTGCACTCAACTCCTCACTCCCCCAACCAATTTCTACTCTAGGTTGCTGGTGGTTGAATCACTGCAGACAATTTACAGATAAGAATAATGTTATGTCTTCTCATTTTGATGAGGCAGAATGTGTGGAAAAGGACTACTAACTACCGTATTTTACGGCGTATAAGACGCACTTTTTTGTCTGAAAAATTGCTAAAAAATCAGCCTGTATCCTATATACTGTATATGAAGTTGCAGTCTCCCGTAAGCTAATGAATCCCCCAGTTGCTGTCTTCAGTCGGTAAAATTCTACCTAACCCAACTCCAGAATTAAAAATATGTTATTGCTTACTAACACATTATTTTTAATTAATTAAAAAATAATTACCCGGTACAGTATTGCAAATATAAAACCTTGATTTATAACTACTGTACTAATGATGATAACCTGAGACAAGTAACGTTCGTACGGCAGACGCCCAACTCTTCAGAGGGAACTACAGGTAAGCAGCAACCATTCCCGAACTCTTACAAGCATTAAGATCTATTAATGCCATACCTGCAACATTTATTTTTATATTAACAAATATCTGATACAAATAAAGATTTACAGACAACTCTCTTTTCACATTTGCATCTGTTAACATCGCTTGCAGCATTGTAGCCAGGTTAAACTCGTCCCTGTAACCACCAGACTACTAGGCCAAGCTGTGGTGTTATGGTTGCCTTTCTACTCGTATTTTTGGGTAGATATACGTAACTTTCTTCATTTATTTTTACTCAGTTTCATGCGCACACCATCCTACATACACGTTGTGAAAAAAGTAAAAGAAATAAAGAAATAATTGTTCTAAGGGCAAACAAATAAAGGGAATACTTGTATATATATATATGTCTTTGCACACGAGTTAGCTGGCTAAGTGGAGGAGCGGCAGGAGTACGCAGTGTTTTGGCGGCGGGGGGTATTGCTAGGGAATTGGCGGAGGGTTTTATTTATTGGTATGGCAATACAGTACAGTATTTTTTTTTGTAACTTACTTATTGGTATTATTCTTATTTATTCCTCACATTTACCAGTACTGTACTGTATATATCATTTTAAGAAAACTATGGCTACAACAGGAAAATACACACAAAAGTTTTTCCCTAAATGTTCCCTGCTGAAAAGGGGGGTGCGTCTTATGTGCCGTAAAATACAGCAACTATCTAACATTTAATAATATGAACGAGTAGCTAAGACTAACAACTTCCACATCCTGGCTGCTTGAAATACTGGGTATCACTTGTATTTGTATTCTCAACATAAATGCACCATAAATTTCATATTTCATTATAATAATAATACTGCATTAATAATTATATAATACAGTAATGTAATATGTTTTTACCCTTTCACCTCACTGTTTGGCACAAATGAACTACAATTTACCCCCGTATGGTTTTCTGAGCTATTTTGTTCACATCAAGTTTATTTTACAATTAAATATGTGGTGCCCATTTCATGGATGTTTTGATTTCAAATTAATCCCTTCAGTAAGATGTGTTCTAATCTATTTTATTCTGGTTACCACCAGACGATTTTATTTAGCTGGGGAGGTTCCATCTCGTAGTCAAGGGGTTAAATAAATTTTCGCTGCTTCTAAAAGACAGATTCATAATCCATTTGCTCATAAATGTCCCCTTTTGCAAATGAAATCCTTACTTAGAACATGCATTCATCCCTCTCTCATCTTATTGTTTTTACCACAGGTATTTTCATTTGACTAGTGCCAGACGATTTAACTCAGTTAAGGAAACCCTGTCAGTACAGTGTTGCCAAAGCATTATCCTGCATTGTAATCTCTCTCGACTGATATAAACTTTCCAGTTTTACCCCCAGTACCCCCCCCCCCTACACACACAGAGAAAAAACACTTACCCCTCCAGCTTTCAAGCAAATGCTTCAAATTCATACTTAAAATTTCAGGGTTCACACCTCTGGGAGAAAGAAGATTGGCAATGCTAAGTAGTAAATGCTGAAGTGGAGACAACTGTACCTTGTACTGTGCAATTAATTTTCAGTTATTATTTATAGTGTGTGGTTATCTGCCCCCAGAGCACAACCCAGGAGTAGCTACAGTCTTGTCTTTGGTTATATCTTTTCATTTTCAGAGTTTGGAATATATATCTTTTGGGGAACTTTGACCCAACTTCTGGAGAAAGCCTGACACTAATGGGGCAACCCGTTCTGGATGAGATAGGTGCACGTGATGTGTGCCTTCCACAGTGGCAATATCAAGCCACTGTGCATTACTCTGATATACATCTAATTCTTTTCTGTAAACTGAATCTGGAAGATTACACATTCCTTTTGAGGCACGAACAATCATGACAGGGCATGTAATTGAAGATATGGCCTCCAAGAATATACTATTACCATAAAATAGACCATTGAAGTTTGAGTAAGCCCTTGGATCATGATTCCAGACATAGCCTCCTTCAACTTTCCTACCAGACCGGAGAAGTAGTATGTGGGCTGAATCTTGAATACTGTTGGCACCTCCCATATATCGTGCTGCCGTTAGACGATCTATTGCTTCACTCTCGGAATACACAATAGGTTGCCTTTTTTCATCTTCTGTTTTAAAAAGTTTCAATGCATCATTACGGAAACTTTCTAACCTGCTTGTACGTATAACTGGTTTAATGAGATCAAGACTGATGAATGCCCCCACATACTCTGGGAAAAGTGCTATGAAGTAGCAAGATATTGCTGACCCCATACTGTGGCCCATGAAAACAAATTTTTTCCATTCTAATTTCCTAACTGCTGTATGAAGACTGAAGACATATGTAAAGATGTCATAGCGAGCCCCAAGAGGCATGTGGTCCGATAACCCATGTCCAGGTAGGTCAAATACCAACACTTCCACCCCAAGTGGTAAGAGGGGCACTAGTGTATCAAAGGTATTGGCATTATCGAGCCAACCATGCACACCCATTACCTTTATGTCATTCTTATAGTAAGAATTACCAACAACACATGTTTTACCATGAAGCTTTCCCCAGCCAACATCAACAGTGATGTCATGCCATGATACTGCTCTGTCAGCCATGTCCTTCCACACATTAATCTGCAAGAAGAGTATCATTCATAGAAAGTGAATTAATTACCAATCATCAATAAATAAAGGCTTTCTTGGTCCAAAAAGTTTTTTAATTTCAGAATGTTTACCAAACTTCCCTGGGGCCAAGCAGGATGAGAAGGGGGTACAGTAGACAAGATGTGTGGCTGGACGAAGGGCCCAGTAACATAGTAGTGGAATAACAAAAAGAACCAAGTGATAGAAAAAAGATTACAGTACTGTTTTCAGGGGGTCCCCGGGTTACGAGAGGGATCCATTCCTGAGGACATTCTTAAGTCGGATTTGTATTTAAGTCAGAACACATGCAATGTGCATACCGTACTTACAAAACAATGTTTAAAACCCCACTATATCATAGTCCAAGTCCTTATATACATCTAAAAATCACTTAATTTAAGACAAAAGAAATAGAAAGACAAAATACAGTAAATGAAAGTAAAAAATAAGTCATCAGGTACATAAAATACTGTAAGTTTCAAGTTTAACCCAGTTTATATCGGAGGGCATTCGTAAGGCTTGGAACATACCCGGTAGGTGTTGGCAAGAAGGAGAACCTGGAGAATAAGTGCAGTTCTTGAAGAGAGGTTTACAAGACTAAGAATTATGAACAGAATGCATTCACAAATATATTGAATAGTACAGATGCAGGAGGATAGGTATTTAGAATAGCCAGGCAAATAGTAGGTAGAAACAAGGATGTTGTTGGTGAGCAGCGTGTGAGAAATTACCTTGGTAAATACAGTATAGTTGTTGATAACGAGGAAATCGAGGATGCCTGGAGGAAGGACATTGCTTTACTCTAACCGCTTCGCCACTGATCAACCTGTTAGCCACTTGGTCATGTCTCATACTTTTCATATAGAGGTATCCCTTATTTAATGTTCATTCACTTGGCGATATTTCAGTTTAGTGTGTTACGAGTTGGGGATTTAGAATATAGTTATACGTCTACCCAGATCCCAACAGGTAACAACAATAAAAAAGGGTAGACAAAGGATGCGAGTTTTCGTTGTATATAATAGAGTACCATAAATCCCTTAACAAAATATTCAGCTTATAAATTACCCTTAACCAACTTAACCTAAACATTAACAGTATATACATATTAATACAACATAAACCATTTTGAAGCAAGTGGACGTGGGGGAGGTAATACAAAATACAAGTACTTAAGTGAGGAGCTGAGATGGCTGACGAGTAAGGCCGAGTATTGTAGAAGACGGTAGGTAGTCACTGCACGTAGGTTTAGAGGATAGATGATCCTGTGGTCACTTCCCAGAGCCAAGTCCTCTCTCCTCGAATTGGAGCTGACAAAGAAGACTTTGAGGAGGTGACGCAACAACCAGGATATGGAGAAGAGAAACCCCGGAGTGGTAACTAAGACGAGTCATACTCGTGTCTCGTCCCTAGATGGCGTTGCTCGTGGTGCTGGGTAGGTAGATCAGGACAATAGATGGCGTGGTTCGGAGTGCTGGGTGGAGGGGCTCGTAACAAGTGATATAAGTTTTTGTTTAGCAATTGGTCAAAATTCAATTTAGCGATGTCTGACTCACTGGGAAAACTTGGGAGGGAAGTCGGAACAAATGGGAATTCTGTGCTCCAAGTGCACATCATTACAATACTCTAATGTGGATTAGAAATTAAGAAAATATAACACAGCTAAAAAAAGAAAATGAAAAATTAAGAGAATGAGTGAGTATGTGTGGGAAATCGATGTATGTATTGAGGAAGAGCTCAGTCATTGCTGTTTTCACATATTATGATCTATGTTGTGAAGTACAGTACATTACTGTACCAGCATATAATCAGCCGAGAATACCGTTAAAAAAATGTTAAGACGTAAAACGTTATTACAGTTATGTATACTGTACGTATAGTACTGTACATTCAGTAAGTGTGAAAGTACCACATGTACACTACCTCTACTGCACATAGCAGAGAAGACAGCATAGAGTATGGTTGTATGTAAATGGTGTATGTGTCAGGGAGATGAGTGACAGTTAGCAAGACCTGCTACAGGACAAAGGCAGCCCATCCTGTATCATCATATTACTATTTGGCCTGCCTGCATCACAACCTCAAGATGACAGCATATGCTGGTGAGTACCACACAGTATATTGCAAGGGTAGCCAAACTACGGCTCGCAAGTTTTTTTTTGACACTTAATGTGTGGCTCACGAAAATATATTGGATGAACTCTTTTTTGCATCAAAATTAATATAAAAGGTACTGTACCATTAATAAGAAAAATGTTCAAGCTTTATATTTATAAATTGAGAGATCAATGGATGAAAATGTAAGTTAAATATTCAAGGCAAGTAAAAATATTTAAGAATTTAAATCTTAACTTTAATGTAAGAGTTGGGTCAGGTTTTGTTCATTAGTGGGCCGGGCAAATGGTGGTGGCCCCATATAATGACATGCACATTAATGCAATGTAACATAAGACGTTGATCTGTACAGATCTAGTGGTACACTCTGGATACAAGTTGTGTTTACATTTAGTAAAAATAAGTTGCTTTTAAGTACAGTTGAACCTCGATTTACGCGGTTTTCGTTTACGGGTTTGGTCATTTACGCGGTACCTTGCCAGAACCGGGATGCCTGAATTATGCGGTAAATTTGGTCATTTACCCGGGTGAAGTATACAGTGGCCCCTCGGTTAACGAACTCAATCCGTTCCAGAAGGTCGTTCGTTAACCGAAACGTTCGTTAACCGAAACCATTGTTTCAATGGGTTTTTGGGTAATTGGTTCCAGCTCACCGAAAATTTCCTAAATTCAACAAAAATGGTAGAAAAGTTCACTTACTTTGAGGTGTGTATGTAGAAAGCTCCTGGATGATGATGATGATGATGGGATTTAGAATGGGGGTGGAGGAGAAGGAAGAAGAGAAGGCATTGGGGTGGAAGAGAAGTCACCCCATGGTGCCATTTCACCCATAAAATTTTAGTTCACTTGGTTTAATTCAAGATTATTTTCTTTAAATCAACGCTGCACTGCATTATATATTGTCAATATATAAAATATATTTCAAAATGACCAATAATTTGCTTGGAAACACAGAAAAAAAGCGTTTAGTTGAAGAGAGTCTCAAGCAAGATGTTACCTCCAGTGAAAACAGAGAGAGACTGACGCCTGTTTGCTGTGTTAAGAGGCTGGATGCCGCGCATTAAACTAGTCACTTTACCTTCAATTTTGTTCAATAATTGTTAAAATGACTAAAAAATTGAATATTAAACTTTTAAAATTATTGAATAGTATAAACTTCTTGATATTTACAAAAATAGTAAGGAATTTAAGCCCTAGAACCGATTAATGTATTGGCGGACTGATACTAAAGCTGGTTGCCCGGTCAGTGCAAGCGAAAACATGTTGAGGTCGGTTCGTAAGAAGTTCGTTAAGCGAATTTTTTTTCGTTAACCGAATTGAAGATCCTTATGGAAGGCAGTTCGTTAATCGAAATTACGTTAACCGAGGTGTTCGTTAAACGAGGGGTCACTGTAATTATTTTTATTTACTGAAGATATTTGTTTTAGCTCATAAAATTCATACAACTTACCTGGCCACAATATAATTTACATTGCTGGAATTCTTATAAGATGATGATCATTTTAAATATAAAGATCATGTACTTTGCATTAGACATACAAATTTTAGATCTAATGTAAGAATTTTGTTTACAAAGAGCAAATATTTTATCTTTTATGCAAAATATATGACATGTACAGTATATTCAAAATATTCCTGGTCTTGCAAGGAATCCAGCAATGTCAATTATATTATCCTAACTTTAGTTTGAGGTATTATTTATTACTATACCTTAAAATCTAGTGGTTTTCCCCCAAAAATTTCTCAGAGAGGGAAGAGCCAGCGAGTGTAGTGTGAGAAGAGGGGGAGGGAGTCGAGTCCATTATTTGAATGGACATTAACTTGGCGACTGTATTTCTCTTAAGTATTAATTGTGTGCGTGTACCATCATAAAATTAAGATGTTATTTTTCATTTAATCCCATATGTTATGTTGTTCACTTTATGACTGCTTGGACATACGTCCATCGGTACTTACGACCTGCTCTGACCTTACGACCGTCGGGACATACGACCGCGGCAGTCGTGACCAAAAATAGTTTCAAATGACGCGCGCATTTTCTATACCGAAACAATTCTGTCCCGGGCGAGATCGTGGGTGCACTCACTCAGTAGAGCGCTTAGTTGGTGTTTGGCTATCGTATCCTATATACTGATCGCGCTGTGAACTTTCATTATTATCGTATTTAATTGACTTTATAATGACTGGAAAGCGTACAAAGTGAGAGTGCTGGTGGTGCTCCAAAGAAAAGGAGACTGGCAATTACTTTTGAGATGAAAATGAAGATAATAACTCAGCATGAGAATGAAAAGACTGTAGCAACAATCTCACGTGACCTAGGTTTCTCACACTCGACTATATCCACTATTCTGAAGGACAAGGAACGTATTCGTGAAGTAGTGAAAGGAACAACACCAATAAAGGGAACTATAATTTCAAAGAAAAGACAAGGTCCTATTCACGATATGGAAAAATTATTGGTGATATGGATAGAAGACCAGATACAGAAGAGTGTACCCTTAAGCCTTCTAACCATATAGGCTAAAGCAAGAAGCCTGTTCCAAAGCCTGAAGGAGCAGGCAGGAGATGAATGTGATCAAACCTTTACAGGAAGTCATTGTATGTATATTATGTATGCTGGATTATATATTATGTATGTGCTCCATTTATGTATTATTCATTCAGCCTAGCTAGCAGCGTGTGGCAATGTTATTACCATATCCCACATGCTTAATTAATGTGCCCGGCGACGTATGGAAGCTGCTAATGTATCACTTGCCATACGTCGTCTATAGCAGTTGACAAGGAGCCTAGCTGAGGAGAGCACTACTCCCCTTTGTGTACATATCTCTTATCCAGTAAACCGAACCTACAAAACTATACAGGTGTTTGTGTTCTCTCCTGTATATAGAACTTATTATTCAGAACCTAACAGTCATGAGTGGTTTGATAGATTTAAAAAACACTACAGTCTACACAATGTTAAGGTGAGTGGAGAGGCAGCTAGTGCCGATGTTGGTGCTGCTGGAGCTTTTAAGGAGGAGTTAGATGAAGTGATTGTGGAAGGGAATTATTTGCCTGAGCAAATATTCAATGTGGATGAGACCGGATTATTGTGGAAGCGCATGCCTGAGCGGACATACAGTTTCAAAGGAGTTAATGAAAATGAAGTTATTTTGGATATTAGTAACAAGATAGTGGAGTTAGGTAAACAGCTGGAGTTAGAAATTAATAATGAAGATGTTGAACAGTTGGTTGAAAGTGTTGCAGAAGAGCTCAGTAATGAGGATCTTATTGAACTAGATGCACAGAAAATTGCAGAGGAAGAAGAGAGACAAAATGTAGAAGAAGAACCTGCACCCCCCAAAAAATTTTCAGTGAAACAAATGGCAGAGGCATTTGCTACAATTAATAAAGGAATGCAAATGTTTGATGGCATGGATCAAAATTATGAGCGTTATGCCAAAGTTGACAGAATGATCCAAGATGCACTTGCTTGCTACAGAGAAATTTATAATGAAAAGAAAATACAAACTGTGCAGTCTAAATTGGACATCTATTTTAAGAAGTCCCCCAGTGCTGTCTCCTCACGCCCCACCAGTGCTGCCTCTTCACTCCCTCAAGATGATCCCATACCTTCAACCAGCAAGTTTCCACAGCACATAAACCTGTCTGAAGAAAGCGACATAGATGACCCACCCAGCCCTGTCTCCTCTTCTGCTTCATCCAATTAATATAGTCTCCATGTATCCTGTAAATAGAAAATTATGGGGGCCCCGTGTGCATTCAGCTGACTACATTAAAGGTAAGTGCTCAGTCACACTGTATCCATTCCTCATTATTTATTACTTTTACTGTACTGTATTTCATTGTAGATTTTTTTTTTAAGTTTGAATTTTTTTTTTATTTTTTTTTATCTATGTCGGACTTACGACCTGGATTTGGGTCCCTAACCCTGTCGTAAGTCGGGGAGCACCTGTATATATGTGTGTATATACAGTCGACCCTCATTAATTCGGACCCCTTTAATCCGGATTTCGGATAAATCAGACGAAATCTGAACTGTCCGTATCAAATTTCTGGTTCTGTGTCATCACTAAGGATTAACCAAGTCTCTGGTGCACTCTAAGATTAAGAGAGAAAACGGAGGACTCAGGCGTCCTGAAGCGAGAGAAAATGGACTCCTATGACGGGGCACTCAAATAAACATACATACACATAGCTACATGTTTAGTGGACCCCAAATTTTTTGGCAAAAAATTGGGTCGACCTCTAAACGGGTAATAGTTTCGTAAGGTTGAAAAATATTTACCAGTAAACAATGGAAATGACGCACCACCAGCTGTGAGTGTCGGTACAGTTGCCAGGACAGATCTCTTGCGTCCTCATAGCAAGCCCGAAGTAGCCAAATGCATGGTATGGTAACACAGGACGATGTAAAACAAAGTATTAATTTTTTAAAGTTTATTTATAGATACATAAATTTTTGTTCATTGCATTTGAAACATCAATCTTTGTTAATTAAATTTGAAACAAAAGAAAACTACGATACCGTATTTCTAAATACCCGGTACTGGGTATTTTCATTAAAAAATTACATCATAAGTATATTTTACCTCAACTGTGACTGAATGAATATATTCTCAAAAATAAATATGGAAATGTAATATTTCTGCTGAAATTACGTACGTATTGCAGTGGAAAGTGGGATAAAATCATGACGAAAACAATGACTTGCGCTTTCTTTCGTTGTTCAAAAGATTTTACCGTAATTGCTTTTCGAATGGTTTTCAGTTAAAAACTGTTGTATACAATAATATTCCCTCCTAATGGACTTGAATAAATACTACCTGCGTTTCAGTGTAAAGTGTCGTAATATTAATTGTAAACAATTTGCCTTCGGCACTCGGTGTTTCAGGCACGGCGTGCCTCAGTTTATAGGACATAGTGTGTTTTTACTGAAGGTTTTGTTGTTCCAATACCCTCAAAAACTTGGGTCGACCTATAAACAAGGAATATCATATTTTAACGATTTTTGGGTAAAAAAATCAGGGTCTACCTATAAATGAGGGAGGGTTATAGACGAGTCCATACCAAATTTATGGTTCTGGGATTGTCTGATAAATGGGTCACGCGGCGGCCTTGTGCGCGCGTGAGTCACGCCAGTCATTGTTGACCTAGCGCCATATTCGAGTATCAGCGTTGTGATGCCCTGCAATTTTCGTTGATATTTCAGTGATTAGGCATCTTTCAGCCTTGTATTTTACATCATGTCTTCAAGGGGGAGCAAAATGCCGAAGAGGAAGTATGTGACCCTTTCTGTGAACCAGAAACTGGAACTTACAAGGAAGTTAGAGGTTGGTGCTTCGGTGTCTAGAGTTTGTGATTAGTATGGTGTTAAAAAGCAAACAGTTTCGGACATACGCAACGCTAAGGACAAACTTGTTGGTGCAAGGAGGCGTATGAGAGCGGAAAAAGGTACAAATCTTGAGGAGGCAGTGACGAAGTGGTTTGTGCAGCAACGATCTTGTGGTAATGTCGTCCGTGGTGTAGAAATACAAGCTGCTGCTGTTAAGCTAGCAAGTTATATGGGCATCGAGAATTTTGAAGCTTGTGACGGGTGGTTATGGCGATTTAGAAATCGCCATGGAATGTGTCATCTACCAAAGGTAAATGAAATTAACATATTGTAATGTTTTATATAGCTAGTTATATGATGTTTACAGTACAGTATTTCCTGTATTTTTGTTACTGTGTATCATGTTCAGCGTACAGTGTATATATGGTACTATATTTCCTAACCTAACCTAAATCGGTTAATTCGGACACCCTCCCCCCCCCCCTAATAGTCCGAATTAACGAGGGTCAACTGTGTGTGTGTGTGTATATATATATATATATATATATATATATATATATATATATATATATATATATATATATATATATATATATATATATATATATATATATATATATATATATATATATATATATATATATATATATATATATATATATATATATATATATATATATATATATATATATATATATAAAATGCCATTGTGAGTTTCCCTTCTGCCCTCCATCCTTAGTGTGAGATCTCCTACATGTACGTATGTATGTGAGCCTAACGAAGAGAAAATAGACAAACATAGAGAAGTTTGACAACTGGCCACATACAGCACGCTACAAAATTAGTTTAAATCATGCAGCTTATTTGGAAGTTGTTCAAAACACACAAAAAACAATCAGAAAAGGCATAAATTCAACCAAACCTAACGTAAACTTAAAATCCTTAGATTCACTGCATGACCGAAACACTAAACCAAGTTATCACCCCACTCCCCATCCCCAACAACAATCTTGGGGGATCCATGGGAAATCGGGGTTTTTAGGTGTAGAGAAGCAAAAACGAATGCTAATAGGCAGCTATGGTTAATATATAGGACTAATCCACCAGGGCTGCATAGCGCCGATGCTCTTGTATCATCTTGCGTCCAGAAAAAGCCTCAAATTTCACCAGATCATAATAAGTTCTTTCTGCTTAATATACCGAGGAAGTTGGGTAAGGTTAGGTAACTAGGTTCGGTTTGGTTGGTTAGGTCTGTTCTTCATACCCACAAATGTTATGTAGCGTTTATTTAAAAAAAAATAAAAATTTTTTAACATATTTCCACACTACAAAAGTGTCCACTATAATATAACAAACAAAATCCGGCGTTTTTATACTTGTTTTCAATTAATTTCGCTCGTGGGTTAGTCCTATACAATTACCGCAGCAAATCTAACCTAACCTAACTAAACCCAACCCAACCCAACCCAGCCCAACCTAACCTAACCTAACCTAACCTAACATGGTAAATTTGCAATTTCAGCCCCAACTACTGTTCGACCAAAAATTTTTGTTTTTACCCATGGTGTTTGGTCTGATTCATACGAATTTGACCTTCATTTCCGTTGCAAATGAGTGATTACCGAGTTATCACCCCAACCCCAAAAAAAAAAATTGCACAAACAGAAATAGGGCTGAAACTGCAATAATACCGCCTTAACTACTTACTGTACATTTCACCACAGAAAATTAACACTTTCTTATCGTATCAAATCGACGTAAAATACACAAGCAATAACTTTCACGTTTTTTAAGTTTTCGTCTGCCGAGAGAACTCTAAAACCCACCTGCCCGTGTCCGCTATGGTCGTCATACACTTCACCATGGAACCTCTAGGCTCTAGTTTGGATGAATTCGGTAGACATAAGTAAATAAGGTAAATATTACGTAATAGTGAGAATCGTAAGCTCTTGGAACAATCTACCGTAGGAACAAATAGACAAAAATATGAATATAAGGCACTACACACTTACGACTGTGATATCAAGGCGTCGGCAGGCAGGTCAATTGATGTTCAGATTGTGACATTGATAGTGAGGTTTTACTCAGCTGATAATAGATAAACCCCACCCACTCCTCTTGCAAACCTGTCCGATTTTGTCATGAAGTAATGTATTAAATGAGTTTATTCATAATCGTTGGGATGACCGTTTATGACGAGAAAGATATATAGCTAAATTATATAAAGATGCATACATTCATTATTTCAAACATAAGCACGTAGGAAGTTTATCAGAAGTATTATACATGAATTAACTGTTAAACTCTGATAGCAAATTTACGCTTTCGGAGGATGCATTTAATATATACTTATTTTACCTACAATAAGATATACTAAGACAAATTACATATCAGTAATAGTACATTATGCAAAAACAACATTTTTAAAGATCAAAATTACATTGAAATACACCTTTCACATATCCGTTGAGACATTGTTACATACTGACAAATTTCATAACCGAATGACAGCACACATATCGAATGACAATCTAAAATAACTGTTCGCTCATGCTAACGGAAGTGATTGACATTTTGATTGATTGATACGTTTATTGAGATACAAAAAACATTAATACATCTCAAAGGGATGAAGTGACATAAGTCATCCCTGTAGTCACTGTAGTGGATCCTCTTGTTCAACCTTATTACTGCACAAACCAGGTTGTACTGCAACCCCATTATACTAATGTTTTTAAATTCCACTCTAATTTATATGTATATATGTATATGCTGACAACCACAAGGAAAGAAGAAAACGCGAAGTTTCCAAGCGCTTTCGTGTAATTCACATCTTCAGGGGTGAGTACAGACTAAGGAGAAGTACAAAACAAGGTATATATATACAGAGGAGGGTGAGATCAGGTCCACAATGGTCAGGTATTAGGTAATGACCCTACTAATCTTTAAATAGCACCGCAACGGTCGGTAGTCAGGTCAGAGGGTAAGGTGACCCAACCTACTCACCTGGTTACAAATCTTCTAAATTACAAAATTGTCCAGTTTGTACATGCCATTACTCAAATTCATGTTGAATGCTTCGGTATGTTTAATGAGACTAGATTCTATGATGTTCTTACTATCAGTTGAATTACAAGGTAATATTGAGGAGGCATTATCCCAGTCAATGCAATGCTTGTTATCCCTCAAATGAACAAACAGAGCATTGGATTCCTGGCCTGTCCTAACACTATATTTATGTTGTTTAAGTCTAGTTACAAGATCTTTACCTGTCTGGCCTGTAAAAGTAGTTCTCAGGTTCTCCTAAGAAGCTTTATTTACCTCCATACACGTGTCATCCGAGGCCAATCAATGTACAGTAGTGTAGTTTGTTTTGAAACTTTTCTATACCGTGGTTTCTAAGTGATCCTATTATGATAATCTTATGTTATCTTATCTAATTACTTTTCAACAACAGCAGGTGATTACGATAAGTAATCACTGAGTCCTTTAGAGATGACTCCTGCTAGAATTGATTTTTTCTTGGCTGATACATTTCATATACACGATCTCTCATGGTGGCTAAGGGTTTTAATACCTTGGATGATGTACTATTTAGTTATACAGCACTATATATAAATAGCACCTTATATTCAAGTTTTGTGGATATCTTGTATAGAAACCGTTTCTTTCTTGGCAATAACAAATAATGAAGTTGCTTTGTATTATGTTTCACAAAATGAACATGACTTTAGAAAATATCTAAGCAAATTATTTAACAAAAACTGACTCATAGGGCAAGAGATAAGAAATACCAGCTAGTGCAGTATTGGTTTTGTTTTAAATAACAATATTTCCAGTCTCAACTGGAACTGAATAGAATTGGTGTCTAAAAACGCACAGTGGCTTTCCTAAATAGACTGGCAAGGTGCACACTCACTGTTATATCACTTGTTCACCGAGACCTCCTCCTTCTATTGTCCAGGAGAGAATACTGTAGTGGAATTCTCCCCTACAAACGCTGTTTGTCGCTGTCTAGCCGACCTCACCAATTCCCCAGTGTATGCCTCGTGGTCTAGGTCAACCAGCGCCGCCATACACCACGGAGCGGGGGTCAACTGCTAAGCCACGCCTACCCCCGCTATTTAAGACCTGACCTCGTGGTGATCTCTCTCTCTACCTACAGCCACAGCCAGCAACACCTCCTCCTCTGCCGCTGCCTGGCGGCCCTCCCTCCTCCGCCTGCCTGGCGGTCCTCTCTCCCGCTGGCGAGCATGGCGACCCACAAGCTGTCCTTCTCTGAGCGTCCTCACCAACCAGCTCTCTCTACATCACGCTTGTAACCATGCTGCCTTCCCAGCACCAAGCTGCATTGTACATCCAATACAACATGTATATAGAGAGCACATTGTGAGTTTCCTTTCTCCATTCCATCCTGAGTGTGAACCAAACATCTCATACCCCACAATACATTTGCTTATAAAATTAGATCACCCACTGACACCATTATACAATAAAGTATTTCTTTTTTTTTGGGGGGGGGAGGGGGGAAGGGATAATAGGGTGTAAACAAGTTACAATCACAATATAAATGAATTACATGTTGGAGTAAGTTTATATCATATCGGTTAAAAAGATATACTTACGATAAACTGGGGTGTGCGACACCTACTGTATGTGTTATGTTACTTATCCTCTTCGCCACTGCCGCTGTCTAGTCAGGTGGTCAGTAATTTCTCTCATGCACTTTTAGAGAGTACTGACCATGCACGGGCTCTTGAATATATATCGGAATATGTGCCAGTGTTGGTCAAGTGTGGTCTTAAATGAGCTCACACTCGTCGCCATCAAAACATTCTCTGGCATGTTATTCAAGAATTCACAACTCTTACTCCAATTTTTTTAGTTTAACAAATTTATTGACAAAGCTTGTACTGTAGTACAGTTTGCCTATTCTGAGTAATTCAGTCAGGTCTTGACACTGAGGGTGGCATTACTTCTCACTGCCACGCAGGACAGAGGTTCATACACACACACACACACACACAAAAATATACATATATATATATATACTTCATTTTTAGTCCATATAACGTGCGGACTTTGAACATATAATCAACAACCTCACCAGCCAGGACTCGAACCCTCGACCTACTGTGTGGGACCAGGGAACACAATGAATATTTTCACCTGACAAATACACACAAGAAAAGGCAAACACGAGGTCCTCATAGCACCTAAATTCCTCAACATTTAAACTTCACAGCATCTTACAAGTATCAAAAAATCTTACAGGACCATAATTAACACGTGGATAGTTAGGTTAACTGACATTCTATTAAAACTAAAGGAAAAATTTAAATTACATGTCCATTATTGCTGAAGTATTTGTGCCAAAATTGCAGGTGTTAGTGACGATCTAAAGATCACATCACACACATACAGGTCACACTTAAAGTTAAGGGGTTTTAGAAAGTAAAAGGTTGCCTCGGTACTATATTTAGAACGTGTCCAGGGATCCCGAGAGAAGGATTGGTTTTGTTCCGGAATCCCGGGTTGTTGAAAACACCCAAAAATAATAAACCCTACTAACACCCACCGCCTGCCACCGTCGTCTACTTTTGCAATTCCTGCTTGACACTGGCCACCCACTCGCTGAAGTAGGCCATGTTGCTCTTGAAATGGTATATGAGGAACCAGTCGCCGTAGTTACACTTGAGCAGGACGTTTGTAGGGTCCTGTTTGGTCTGGTGTTTGTGGGTCAGATGGACGAGCACGGTGTTGCGAAGGCTTGACCTGTGGTAGTGATGGTTTTAACACCAGGTGAGGTCACGGGTTGAATGTAAGAAAAAAGGCACAGGAAGAAAGCCGCAAAACCTAACCTAACCTTAAACTAATATATTTTATTTTATTTAGCCTGATTTTTTACTTTTCTGACTTTTCCCAGACATTGACAGATATAGTGAAATACAACAGCTTGTAACTAAAAAACATTAGAAACATATTTATTTATGATCATAATTCTAGTGATAATTACAAAATCCTACTTACCCCACCTGAAAAAAATCCCACAACAAAATCCCACCAGGAGAGGTAGAGGAAGAAGCCGAGGCGGTTATTCACAGGAAGAGGAGGAGGAGGCTACTCACAGGAGGAGTAAGCTAGTCAGGGAGAAGGCACAAGATGCGAATAACGAGAGGAAAAGGAGGAGGAGGTGGCTAACAGGAAGAAGAGGGGGATGCGGTTACCTACAAGAAGAGAAGGATGCAGTTACTCACAGGAAGAAGAGAAGGATGCGGTTACTCACAGGGAGAAGAGAAGGATCCAGTTACTCACAGGGAGAAGAGGAGGATGCGGTTACTCATGGGAAGAAGAGAAGGATGCGGTTACTCACAGGAAGAAGAGGAGGAGGTGAAGGATGAGGACGAAGCCACAAATGGCGGCGGTGACGATGTAGACGAGCCACAGGAAGATGTAAGTCTTCTCGTTGACGATGTTGAGGGGCAACACACACATGGAGTCGAACTTCTGGATGGTCCCCGACGCCCCGTACTTGTGCCACGTACACTTGGCAACCTTAGGGAGTGAGAGGGAGAGCTATGTACGTAATCTTATGTAATCTCTCTCTCTCTCACACACACACACACACACACACATAGAGGGGAGATACGTACCTTGGGGAAGATTTCATTGAGAGGATTATTTGGGTCAGTGGCACTAGTGCCCAGATACTTGATGGCTGACGGCCCGAACTTGAAGAACTCCCCGCCAAGGAAGGTGTTGGTGAAGAATAGGTTGCCCACGGAGATGGCGAAGATGGAACATTCGCACAGCAAGAAGAACACTCCGTAGCTCCTGTGGGTTGCCATGGAGCTGACGAAGTACCGCGCCGAACTCTCCACCTGTCCAGCAAATAGAACAGGTTACAAATTTAAGTTCAAGTACAGATATAGGAAAGGTTACATTATCAGTTACAGTCTAAGAAACAAGTATCCTCCTACCTTTAGCTGATTGATATTGAAACCTGACGGATTATACTTGAACGCTATTCTCTTTTGTCGGATCACCAGAATGGCTATCGCCAGGCGAGATCTACTGGTGCTCTGCTCTCCTACTGCACCCATCTTTGGTCATCCTCTCTTAGGGATTATGGGGAAACTTTCGTCATGGCCCTCAACATCTCCAAAGCATTTGACATGGTATGGCACAAGTCTCTGTTTTCTAAACTTCCCTCTTATGGTTTTCCACTTTGCTATCTAATTTTTAGCTTCCTTGAGAACCGATCAATGGCAGTTGTTGTAAAGGGTCGATCTCTCGCTCTTTCTCTACCAATAGTGGTGTCCCACAGGGTTCTGTTCTTTCACCGACTCTCTTCCTTCTTTTTATCAATTATTTACTTCACACTACGACTAATTCTATCCATTTTTACGCTGATGATTTTACTCTTCACTCTTCTTCACATTCTCCCTTCTCCCTAATTCTCACACTAGATATGTTTCTAGAGCTGATATCATTACATCTATCAATGCGGATCTGTGCAGCATCTCCGAATGGGGAGGTAAAAACTTGGTTAAATTCAATAGTAATAAAACTCAGTATTTACCAATTACACTTTCCGAATTAGATGATCTTCCACCAATCACATTTCAGGACGCAGTCATTATGCACAGATGCTGTATCCCACCATTTCCTCTAATATGTTATGGAAGCAACACATCCTCATCATTGCTGAAGCTGCCTCCCGAAAGCTTGGAATGCTGTACAGATGCCGTAGCTACTTCACTCCTGAGCAGTTGCTTCAAGTACTGTATATAAGAGATTCATTCGTCCTAAATTGGAGTACTGCTCTAATATCTGGGTGGTTCTTCTGTCCAACTGTTAGATAGGGTGGAAAATCTTTTTTCCCTTTCTCTTCGCCGCAATATTGCTTCTCTCTTTTACATGTACTTTAACGGGCAATGTTCGATGAATTTGGCATCCTGTGTACCGCTGGCAAGCCGTGGGCTCAGAGCACTCGTCTTGCCCACCGTTTCTCTGTGGATGTCGGTCACACTAGAATAACCTGTAGGAATTCGTGGTATAATGTTGTCTAGCACTCAGGATGGATGGAAACTCTAAGGTGGTTTTCTTGTATAATATAAGTTATATGATAGACAGTCTGGTGCTGGAGGTGCCGTGTGGTGAGGAGCTGCTCAGTAGACACGTTCGGTGAGTAGCGTGTTGAAGGAGGTAGATGTGCAGGAGCTTCGTTAGAGAAGATGTTGCCTGTTGCTGGCCTCCTGGTTGAATGAATGCTGACAGCAGGAGCTTGCTGGAGTAGGTGTTGTGTGTTCAGGAAGATGGGCCAGAATGAAAGAGCTGGTTGGTGAGGAAGCTCAGAGAAGGACAGCTGGTGGGTCGCCATGCTCGCTGGCGGAGCTAGGACCGCCAGGCAGGCGGAGGAGAGGCGAGGGCCGCCAGGCAGCGGCGGAGGAGGAGGTGTTGTTTGTTCAAGAGGAGAGGCCATAATGAATCTCAATGGAGAGACAGAGCTTATATACCCGGCAGCCGTGAGTCATCTATGAGTCATGTTGGGAAAACCCGAGAAGTAACGGTCTTTGGCTCGGTTGCTAGGATACGGTGGCATCTGGTGACGCCGCTCGCTTGGTTGCTAGGGAAGATGGTAGCAGCTGGTGGCTGCGGCTACGCAGTTGTAGGGGAGAAGTCCACTGCAAACCCTTTATATTACATCCTTCTTTCCTCACACAGCCAAACTGTGGAATGCTCTACCTTCGGTGTTTCCATACTCATACAATCTGTCTCACTTCAAAAAGTTGGTTTTCCGGCATCTTCGTGGTGGAGAATAATATGATATTTTTTCTTTTTTATTTTTAAATTATTTTTACTCTTATTTTTTCGCTCCCTCCCCAGGCCCCGTTGTGTGTCGATGACCTGTGCCCGGATGCAATAAAAAAAAATTGTGGAATACGGACACATATACCAAATAATGAACATCGGAGAAAGAAAGTAATTATGCGAATCAATAGTGTAACTGGCTACACCTTTCCAAGGTTTCACAGGCTTGCCAACTTTTTACGAGGTACACAGATGCTTATGCTGGTTATTTCAACTTCCGCCATGTATGCGGAAGATAGCTGTTTCTTAGACCGTGCATGTACAGGTTCGGTTACAAATACAGGAAGAGGTACAATGTCAGGTTCATATACACTGTACATGTTCCTGACATTCTGCAGGTTCGGATACAGATTTAAGCACGGTACTCACGTGATTTCTATATAGATGGTACAATACAAGGGCCGAGTAATAAATATATTGTCGTTTATTATAAAAAAAAATCGTTATCACAGGCGTGACAGTTGTGTCCCTGCTTGCACGTCATACATGACTCTGTTATCACCATTAACGGACATACAATCTTAACTTATCCAAAACCCACGAATGTAATGACGTAACATCACTTCCGGAATGATTTAACCAGTCACTCTTGTCTGGGGATTGGCAACCTTGACCCTCCATTTCAAGCGGTTTTCGGCTGTCTTTCCCGATCCTCACAGATTTTGTACCTCTTCGGAGCTTTCATTCAATCGTCCTGGTCTCTGCCTTTATCCGGCCCTCCTACCCATGCATTAATAAAATTCCTAGGTAGGCCACACTAGTAAGACCTGTAGGTAGGAAACATAAACACCCATCTTCAGCCAAGACTCCTGTTATTGGCTTTACTTAACACACACACACAACACACACTCACATTCTTGGAGACGTCGCTAATGTGTATCTTGTCCAGCTGACAGAGAACGGACTGGAAGAACCCTTTGTCTATTCTGTCCCAGATCCAGATTGGGAGATAGTAGAAGACTGCCTGCAGCACCAACACCATCGGCACCCACTGGTAGTACGCGTTGCCTCTGGTCAGCTTCCTCCTTCTCCCCTTCAGCATTAATCTTCGGAATGGCGGGTCCTACGCCAGGGTGAGGTGCCAACTAATGGAGGAAGAGAGGAGGAATGGAGGTGAGGTTAGGTTAGATTAGGTTAGGTTGGGTATGGGTTTGACTTGGTTCTAGTTATGTTAGGTTAGGTAAGGTTGGCCTGGCGTAACCTGGGTAAGGTTAGGTTAGATTGATGGAGGTTAGGATGGGTTAGATAAGTCTGGGTTAGGTTCGGTAAGCTTGAGTTGAGTTACATTAACTTGGGTTAGGTTGGGTTAGCTGAGGTTAGATTGAGTTAGGTAAGGTTAAGTTTGGTTAGGTTTAGTTGAGTTAGATTAGGTTTAATCAGGTTAGGTGAGGCTGGGTTAGGTTGAGTCAAGTTAAGTTAGGTTAGGGTTTATCTTAGCTTCTCTTGCTACTTCAATATCATAATCTATTTTTGCTTTTATTTCTATCTTTAAAACAATATGGGAGATCAACGTCATTCCGAATCTTCTATATATTGCTTTTCTTTCTGCCGAGTAATACTCTTTGAGTAATTATTCATCCATTTAGGGTCATTGTTACATGATTTAAACTTTTTGTACAGTACATTTGTTTTTGCAAATTAATTAACTGTTATGGTACTCGGCAATATTGTATCTTATGGTCAGGTCATCAAAGGTTAGGTCACCCTCAACGGTCACATTTTCTGAGGTTCTATTATGTACACCAGGACACGAGACGTCCTCCTTCAGTTGCACGTTAGTTAGTTCACCCCTTTACGTCGACAAAGGATAACAACCTCGCTAAGCCCGAAACGAATCAAAACAACTATAGGAGAAAATAATGAATTCTGAGCTTTCAAGTCGTATTTTTGTTTTGTCATGAAGCGTCAGAAATCCTTAAAAAAAATAATAATATGTGATAAACCATTAATATACTGTATTAAGCCTGCCAAATGCTACTGCGGGAGTTTGCCTGTCCCCTTGCACCCCTCTTCCCCCATCCACCCCCCACCCCCCTCACACCCTCTACCCTGGAAGCTGATACTCATTCTTATCACACTCGTATTATTCACTCGAGGATAACCTCAATATAATATCAGGCTGAATCAGGCGGATCGGTGGGAGGGCGTGGCTGCCCATGGGCTTCCACAATCTGGGCCTCCAACATATTACAATATTTTATTTATTTGTTTATTCATTTGGATTATTTTATTTTCATTCTTAAAAATCATGGAAATTTGTACACTATCAATAAATATACAGTTAATTAAAAATTTCTCAATGTTCTAATTTCCTCAATATAACTGCATATGGCTTCAAAATTCTCCAAAGAAGTGTTCAAATTTAAAAATTCCGGGGGCTTACAGAGCCCCCCGGAACTCCCAGATGTTTAGGCTTGCTTCACTCGCCACCCCACCCTTCTGGGTAGTTATAATGAGGCGGGGCCTCCACAGGTCTAAATCCGGCACTGGGCTGAATGTGAACAAATATATCATGGCTGTGAATGTTGTATTGTAAATGTTTTCTGGGAATATTTATGTAGCGTCTGTGGATATTATTTGTTTAGTTATTGGTTATAATTTTTTTTAGTAACTTGGCTGAGAATAGACAAACTGTACTACAAGCTTTGTCAATAAATTTGTTAAACTTAAACTTGGCTGTGAATGCTTTTTGTAATCTATGGCTAAGAAATTTCCTCGCTGACTGTGGACATGACTATGACTCAATTCCGTCTTAGAAGATTTATTATCTCTTATCTTTATGAACCCGCTTCTCCTCACCAATCACACACACACTCACACGTCTCACCAAACAAAAGTATAATGAATCTGTGTCCCAAAAAGGAAATGGACACCCTTGACGAAGCTTAAACAAAACAGCTTCATAACTATCTCACTAGTGGTTCGAATCCACACCTAAACAAGTTTATTATAGCGTAGGTGAATTGAACCTGTTTCGTCAAGGATTCAGTTCAATCAGTACATGGTATAATTAGACCCATTTCGCTATACGGATCTGGGACCATAGTAAGATAGCCTACGACTCTCAACATGGATTTACACAGGGAAAATCTTGTCTAACAAATCTGCTGACGTTTTTTAGGAAAGTCTCTGAGGTAGTAGATGATGACGAAAATTACAATGTTATTTACTTAGACTTTAGCAAAGCATTTGACAGAGTACCGCATCAGAGACTTCTGAGAAAAGTTAAGGCTCGTGGTATCGAAGGGAAAGTTTTAAATTGGATAAAATCATGGCTCACCGATAGAGCACAGAGGGTCTATGCGTAGTTTAATTCTGAGTGGGGCTGTGTAACTAGTGGGGTTCCCCAGGATCAGTACTGCCTCCATTTGTTCATATATGCATAAACGATCTAGATACTGGGATCAACAGTTACATAAGCAAGTTTGCAGATGACGCCAAAATAGGCGACAGATTAATTCAGGCAGGATGCCTAGCACTACAGGAGGATTTAAATAAACTGCAGGAGTTGTCAGAAAAGGCAAATGAAATTCAACACCAGCAAGTGCAGCGTGCTTAATATTGGAAGACCAAACTGTCAATGTATACAGCTCAACAACATCAAACTAGAAGTCGACTTGTGGAAAGAGACCTAGGGTACTCGTAAGCCCGGACCTTCGGCCAGGAAAACAGTGCGTTAATGTTCGAAATAATGCAAACAGAGTATTAGGTTTTATATCTAGAAGTGTAAGTAATAAGAATGCCGAGGTCAAATTGCAATTATATCTTGCATTAGTCAGGTCGCACCTCGATTAATCCGGTTCAGTTCTGGTGCCCTTATAGAATGGATATCAAATCACTGGAGTCGGTGCAGCGAAGAATGACGAAAATGGTTCCCCAGAAAGACGAAGAGTGCGGGAGATATGATAGAAGTAGTCAAGTGGGTGAAAGGAATCAATAAAGGAGATATTGATAAAGTTCTTATAATATCCGAGCAGGATAGGACTCGTAGCAACGGATTTAAGTTGGATAAGTTTAAGTTTAGGAGGGAGATAGGAAGGAACTGTGAGATGAGTGGAACAAGCTTAGCAACTTTGTAGAAAGTGCTGGGACGCTGGAAAGTTTTAAAAGGAGGCTAGATAGATTCATGGACGATAGAGAGTGGTTGTAACTCTCGACAGGAGCTGCCATGCACAGGCCAACCGGCCGATTGCAGACTCCTTATTTTCTTATGTTCTTATGTAATAAAATAAGTTGTTCAATTATCTCGCTTTTCTGAAACAACTTCTCTCTCAACACTCACATCAGCGTTCAGATCCACAATGGTGAAGGTCGAGGCAATGAAACAGTAAGTCTCGATGGCTTTGTGTTCCTGTTTCTCGAAGCCCGTGATGCACTTGATGTTGTCTCCGATGTAGTTCTTGGCGGTGACCAGCACACACGCCAGCAGGGTGATGAACATACACAGTTTGGCCGAGAAGAAGACCATCGACCCCACCCGAGGTTTGGTGTCCCTGTGGGAGTGAAGCTGGTGAGACGAAATAAGATGATGATAATGATGATGATAGTGACACTAGGGATGATAGTGCTACTGAGGATGGTGATGGTGTTGATGATGATGGTGACACTGATGATGGTGAAAATTATAGTAAAAACTCAGGTTGATGATGACAAGTGATAAAAATAATTATTTAAATTGTACGATTTACGATTGTGCATCTCTGTGGGGTGGTACAGGTAGGGTATAATACTTGCTTCTTGACTTGTAGGTCGCTGGTTCGATCCCAGGACACCCATAGTACTGTACCTCTGGTACCTAACTGCACTTGTGGAAGTAAAGCTGGTAGAGAGCAATGCCGACCAAGGCGACCATGCTGCCTCCTTGAGTACCGAAGGCTCAGTATACTGTGTGCTCTATCCACACTGTTCTAAATAGACCGTCAGACCTATGACACCCACATTTTAGTCTGACAATAACTCTATGATATTGTCATGATAACAGTGTTCACACAGGGAATTGATAAAAAGCCGGAAAATAGTAGGTACTAAAGGTTCGTTGTATAATGTGTGTGTGTCAGTTGAGGAGATGAACAAATGTGCAGGGCTTGGGGGGAGACTGGCCCACAACGAGACATGGGAGGCGGAAAAACAGAGTAGAAAAAGAGTATGTTAATCAACACCACGAAGATGCCGATAAACCAGCTTTTTGAAGTGAAACAGATTGTTAATGGATGGAAAAACAGAAGGCTGAGCATTCCACAGTTTGGCTGTGTGAGTAAAGAAGGAACTTCTATAATGGATTATTCTAGTGAGCCTGACATCCACACCGAAACGGTGGACACCACTGCCTTGCCGGCGGTACAGACCTACAGCCTGAACATCTAGTAAGCTGACAAGAAATAATAATAAAGTTAGTATGTGCCTTTATGCAACATGATGACTCACCCAGATGTGGTGATCTGTTTCTTCAATTCCCCGAATACTTCAAACATGGTCGCTTCTCACACAGCTGTAACACGCGGAAAAAAAACAATTTTTTATTTGTATATACTATACAAATCAGAAACAAGCTCGATGTTTACACGAAGATTTCACTATTTACGAACAAATGATAAACAAACATAACTCATAGCAGGAACGTTATTATGCTTGACAACAGTATATAAACAGATCCAGAAGTAAACATACTCATAAGAGGAGTGTAAGCAGTTCAACAAGAAGGTAAATATTGTATATCCTATCACAGGTTGGTAAACACTCACAACAGCAGGATAAACAGGTGTACTGTACGTACTCTACCTGTACCTCACAACGGGAAGATGAACAGACGTACCTCAAACAAGAAAGTAAACAGACGTACACCACAACAGGAAAGTAAACAGACGTACACCACAACAGGAAAGTAAACAGACGTACACCACAACAGGAAAGTAAACAGACGTACACCACAACAGGAAAGTAAACAGACGTACACCACAACAGGAAAGTAAACAGACGTACCTCTACCATGGGAAAGTAAACAAGACGTACACCACAACAGGAAAGTAAACAGACGTACCTCACAACAGGAAAGTAAACAGACATAAACCCACAACAGGAAAGTAAACAGACGTACCACAACAGGAAAGTAAACAGACGTACACCACAACAGGAAAAGTAAATGAACGTACACCACAACAGAAATAAACAAACTATTTGCCTCACAACAGGAAAGTAAACAGACGTACACCACAACAGGAAAATAATAGACATGCCTCTAACAGGAAAGTAAAGCAGGAGCCACAACAAGGAAAATAAACAGACGTACACAACAGCAAAATAAACAGACGTGCCTCTCACAACAAGAGATAAACAGACGTACACCACAACAGGAAGTAAACAGACATACCTCACAACAGGAAGAGTAAACAGGCCCACAACAGGAAAATGAAACAGACGTACACCACAACAGGAAAGTAAACAGACGTACACTCACAACAAGGAGAAGTAAACAGACGTGCCTCACAACAGGAAAGTAAGCAGGCGTACACCACAACAGGAAAGTAAACAGACGTACCCACAACAGGAAAGTAAACAGACCCATGCACCCCACAACAGGAAAGTAAACAGACAGCCACCACAACAGGAAAAGTAAACAGACGTACACCACAACAGGAAGTAAACAGACGTACCTCACAACAGGAGAGAAGTAAACAGACCCTGCCTCACAACAGGAAAGTAAACAGACGTACCTCACAACAGGAGAGAAGTAAACAGACGTACCTCACAACAGGAAAGTAAACAGACGTACCTCACAACAGGAAAGTAAACAGACGTACACCACAACAGGAAAGTAAACAGACGTACACCACAACAGGAAAGTAAACAGACGTACACCACAACAGGAAAATAAACAGACGTACCTCACAACAGGAAAGTAAACAGACGTACCTCACAACAGGAAAGTAAACAGACGTACCTCACAACAGGAAAGTAAACAGACGTACACCACAACAGGAAAGTAAACAGACGTACACCACAACAGGAAAGTAAACAGACGTACCTCACAACGGAAAGTAAACAGACGTACACCACAACAGGAAAGTAAACAGACGTACACCACAACAGCAAAATAAACAGACGTACCTCACAGCAGGAAAGTAAACAGACGTACACCCACTTGGGAAAGTAAGCAGACATACCTCACAACAGGAAAGTAAACAGACGTACTCCACAACAGGAAAGTAAACAGACGTACACCACAACAGGAAAGTAAACAGACGTACCTCACAACAGGGAAAGTAAACAGACATTGCCTCACAACGGAAAGTAAACAGACATGCACCACAACAGGAAGAGTAAACAGACGTACACAACAGGAAAGTAAACAGACGTACACCACGACAGGAAAGTAAACAGACGTACACCACAACAGGAAGTAAACAGACGTACACCACAACAGGAAAGTAAACAGGCAGTACCTCACAACAGGAAAGTAAACAGACGTACCTCACAACAGGAAAGTAAACAGACGTACCTCACAACAGGAAAGTAAACGGGCGTACCCTACAACAGGAAAGTAAACAGACATTACTCACAACAGGAAAGTAAACAGACGTACACCACAACAGGAAAGTAAACAGACGTACACCACAACAGGAAGTAAACAGACATTACACCACAACAGGAAAATAAACAGACGTACCTCACAGCAGGAAAGTAAACAGGCATGCCTCACAGCTTGGGAAAGTAAAGCAGACGTACCTCACAGCAGGGAAAGTAAACAGACGTACACCCACAGCAGGAAAGTAAACAGACGTACACCACAGCAGGAAAGTAAACAGACGTACACCCACAACAGGAAAGTAAACAGACGTACCACAACAGGAAAGTAACAGACGTACCTCACAACAGGAAAGTAAACAGACGTACCTCACAACAGGAAAGTAAACAGACGTACACCACAACAGGAAAGTAAACAGACGTACACCACAACAGGAAAGTAAACAGACGTACACCACAACAGGAAAGTAAACAGACGTACACCACAACAGGAAAGTAAACAGACGTACACCACAACAGGAAAGTAAACAGACGTACACCACAACAGGAAAGTAAACAGACGTACACCACAACAGGAAAGTAAACAGACGTACACCACAACAGGAAAGTAAACAGACGTACACCACAACAGGAAAGTAAACAGACGTACACCACTACAGGAAAATAAATAGACGCACCTCACAATGAGAAGACTTGAACACCACGGCCGTCTGTTCTACACTGAGGTACTGTACTGGTGGCATCTACTGATAACTCTACCTGATATTAAAACGTACTAGAAGATAAGACTAGATCTGGGTATATCTCAGTCAGTATCTAGCTTTATTTCTATATGTATACCCCCATTCTTTCTCTCTCTCACTTTCTGTGAGTGTGAGGGGGGGGGGGGTAAATGTATGTATGCCTGTAACTTGCTGAATTGGTGCAAGTTGGCGAATCGTTGTCTGATCAAAGCCGTCCCCGTAAAATAAATAACCTAAAACTAGATTTATCTTATTTAACCTTACCTTATCTATCAATCTAACACGATCAATCTAACTTAATTCTAGTCTATTTTTACCTGATTAACTTTACCTTATCTGATTAATCTAACCTATTTTAATAACTTTACATAACTTAACCTAGTCGGATTATCCTAACTTCTCTTAACCAAATCTTCATAATCTAATCTAACTTTACCTAATTTAATCTTCATTGGTGACGCTGTTTTTATGAAGGGGAGTATTAACTAGTTTGTTAATCTAGTTCTAGTAGAATGGGTGGCGTGGGTCGAGTACAGAGTAGGCTTATGATAAGTGGCGTGGCCGTTAATCCTCGTCTGGGCTGACTCACCAAACACCTTCAAATGTCAGCTCTGATACTCAAACCTCCAAACAGTAAAAGAAAAACTTACACAAAACTGGAGAAGACGTCACTAAGGTATCGAACGTAGCTGTATGAATATATCTGTCTTTTATATCGAGTTTTATTTCGGAAATTTACTGTAGCCTCATACTGTTGAAGTAGATACTCTCCCCTACAACTGCTAATTGGTCACTTGCCGTCCTCTCCTCACTACTACGCTACACTGTATTGTTTCCATATTCTGTAGTTATATATCTGTTTAACGCTTTACTGTACCTGTATTTAAATCCTGGCCACTGCCTATGTGTGTGTGTTTGTTCAATATCAGTTATTTCTTCGTCTCTGTTTTGGCATGTGTGTTTTGAAAAATGAATCAAGAAGGTGGGACAGGAGCATTAGGTGGTGATCTGTAATAGATACAGTACGTTAACCTTGGTATAATTTTGATGTTTTTTTTTAATTATTTTGTGTGTTAGGGAAAGTTTACCAGTAATTAGGTACAGTTTTCATAACTCTTCAGTTACGAGGAATATTCGTCGTACGATCCTACACACTTCTGAGAATTGTTATTCTGAATACAAGTTAGTTTAACAAATTTATTGGCAAAGCTTGTAGTACAGTTTGCCTATTCTGAGTAATTCAGTCAGGTCTTGACTCTGAGGGTGGTATCACTTCTCACTGCCACGCAGGACAGAGGTTCATACACAAAGAAGTACATCATATTCATTAACAGCTGTAAATGTATAGAGGTCAGATTCATATGGGCAATGTCACTGTTCACTGCCATGCAGGACAGAGGTTCGTACACAAAGAGATGCATCATATACATTGACAGTACATATACATATATGTACACACACACATACACATATATTGTACATACATATAGGCTACACATATACATATACATATACATGTACATATATATACACATATACACACATACACACATACATACACATATGCACACATACATACATATACGTCGGTCAGATTCATGTGGGTAATGTCACTCTTCACTGCCATACAGGACAGAGGTTCGTACACAAAGAATGCATCATATTCATTGACACCCTTCTTCCTGCATCTGGCACACTGCCACTGAGAGGCAGCTTCCTTGGTGGGGCAGCTCCTTGTGCTATACATTCCTGCACAGAAGCCGCAGGTGGCTGGCTTGTGACAGTATTTCGCCACATGATTGACCCCGAAGCAGTTGTAGCACACCACAGGGGGAGGAGTCCACCGACTGATGTTACTAGGGGTACCGTACGTGCTGCCAAAGAAGCGGTACTCCTCAGGAGGTGGTTCCTTCCTTTTCCAAACAATGATGATCCTACTAAGTTGTGCACCATCATTATAAAGTCTTCTTGCACTGTGGACGCCCTGAAGTGACAGAGCTCTCTTGGGGGGAATACCCTTGGGGAATTGGGTGACAAGGTATTCCTGCATTTTTTGGGGTCGAACAGGTTCATCTCGCTTAATAAGCTGTATTGAGCCGACCTTTCCATCAATGAAGCGTTGGATAGCATCAGTCTCCTCTCGGCCTACATTGACAAAACGAGGGGTGTTACCTGGCACGACAACATTCAGCTTAGCTGTGCCATAATCCTTATTCAGGGCAGTCAACCAATTAATCTTCATCAAATTGGTTGCGTTCTCGGGGAAGGCAAGGCGCATGTAGTTAGCCCGGGGAGCAATGGGAGGGATGCACCTATTGGCTCTCCTCTGCTTCCTTCCCTGGGTCCTCATTTTGCGTTTCTGCTAATGTGTCTTAAACTTCTGAAAGCCAGCTTCAGTGTTGCCATGACTGTCCTCCTCATCTTCTTCATCAGGGACATCGGCTGAGGGCAGCCCAGCGATGACTCCTGGCATGGTTAGATTTAGATGGAATCTAGGTCCCATACACTGGGGCAGAGAGGCAATATGTAGGCCAGCGGTGTCCTTGAGGCGCAAACCCTCTTATAGGACAAGGGGAGAGGGGAACCTGACATCAACGGTGTGAGGGTAGGAGGGCCTCCTGGGAGCAGAGGGAGTGTGGTGTCGGGGGGGGGACTATGGTAACAGGAGTATTCTCAGTTTATAAGCACTTTTATTACACTACACTTGTTCTTAATAGTATCTCTGTTTTTCTGGTTAGATACAGTAATTACAGTATCAAAGTCAATTTTAGTTTCAAAAGAACTATCCAGCGTGGCACCATATAAGGGGGGGGGGGTTTATACAGACCTTCACCACATGGCCGGGGTGACCGCGGGAGTAGGCCTGCCTGGCTGGGGTCTTACACACCCACTCTACAGTACTCAACCCACGACGCATTAGTTCACTTGTTATACAGGCAACATATTTGCAGTTGTTGACCTATCGGTTAAGGTAATCCTCCAAGTCATAGTGTTAGGCAGAACACCTAATATTCAGTAACACCCTGTGAGAATCCTGTATCTCTAATCCCAGTGTGTACCACCTTAACCTTAAAAAGATCACAGGTGGTCCACCACACACCCACCTTACACACATGCTGAGGGGAACCTGTGATACAAGAGTTATAAACACTTATTTTAATGCAGATCCAACTTACAATCATTTTCTATGATAGATTAACCTCAAAACTATTAATAAGTTATTTAGAAACGATTTTGATGTATCACAATAGACTACCATTGTGGAAGTAATACTTCCGTATTGTTTGTACAAAAGGATTCGTTCTTACCATTTTACGATGCAGGTGAATGAAGAGAAGTTTAGATGAATTATCCTAATTTAACAGGTGACGGGAGCGTAAGCCAGGTTCAAGACTCAAGGCAACCCAACAGACTGAGTTGTAGTAGCATAATTTCCACAACCACGGAACGCAACTGTTAAAAGAACCAGTCGAGCCATGCATCACCCCATTACGTGTTGTCATGTATAGATGGTATCTAACTTGAAAAATGGCCTATGCCTTGGTCGCTAGGGCGGTCGGTTTCTTCTCTGTTGGCACGTACTGGGCATGTACTGACTCCAGAATGTATCTGTATCAAACTGAACCAACGCCAGCACTTGACAAATCTGATCTTGATTTTTGAACAGGCTGGCTCACACTCGGTGCTGTCATCGTGCTCTCTCGCTTCATGCTGAGAATCATTAATCAATTTGTGTTCTTCGGGGTGAATTCGAATTAAGGGCGCTACTATAGTATGCGGTCTAACCTAACCTAACCTAGCCTAACTAGGTAAGGTTAATGGATGCTGCAGTGTAAATATCCCGGAAGACACAACTCGGTAGACCGCATTGATGTTAGACAGATTGAACGGTTCATACAGTACTTTAATACTCATCTGATAGGAACTTGGCGACTTATTAGAGTTTAGTTTGTCCATCTGTCTTAATGCCCTCAGTCTACTTGAATAATCAAAATAATATAGTTCATGAATCATCTTAGTCGCTTTCTGTGTTGCACCTCTTCTACGGTACTGTACACTGTAGTACTGTATATTAATGCCATTTATAATAACTATTAAAGAATAAAAAATCGTTCAGGGACAATATAATTGTGAAATATAATATTATTTTTTATATTATGAAAAAAAAAATTATGGAGGTGTGGATTTCTTGGTGTTTGATACTAGGTGTACGTGAACGTTTGAAACCATAACATAACAAACTAGGAGAAGCTGGGGAAGGAAACTATTTTAATCTACCACCATCTGTCTCATTTTCGACCCAACAACAGTGTAAGTATTGATGCAAGTGGCTTCAGTTCATGGGTATAAAACGATGGCGTAGGTGCGTGATAGTGATACAAGGAGGAGTAATTAATGCGAGGTGAAAAATCCAGGAGGGTGATGGCGCCTGGATAAGGACGCTACCGGGACGTTGTTTTAGCCTGTAAGCTGTGTTGGGTAAAGCTTAAAACATGTTCATTATTTGTCATATTACATTTTCAAACTTATTTTTCAGATCTCCAGCTTTGGTTCAGTTGTAGCTTAGTGAGACATGTAAATAGGAATGATGTAGAAAGTTGTGTCAACGTAATGATTTTTAAAACTGGATATCTATCAATGAGGACTCTATTTAGACGCCCCCTGAGATCCAGTAATGGCCATTTTCTGGGTCTATTGTTTGTACAGGAGTAACTTGAGAACACCAGTGTTATATTTGAACATAAAAAAAAATAGAGTTCTTGACCTAGACCTTTCATTTGACAATATAGTTACAGTTCACAACAGCGTGTGTTATGCCCTAACAGAAATAGTTTCGGTCATCTTGGAAATCTTGGGAATCAGCTTAGGTTAGGCTTGATAGGTGAAATTGGTATTATTTTACTTTTGGACGTAGAGCACCTGAAAGTTATAAACTACTGAAACATTTATATCTCCCTATTCTGAGCATTTTGAACCCCATATATACCAGGCGGAAATGGATAATAGCGAGATAAATTTATAGTAGTTCACACAACTCTGTTAGAAAGTCAAAACTATGTTTTTCTAGTGTATTTTTGTGTTTTGATTGGTCCTGACCTTGATTTCCGTCGAAAATTGCCTGTTTTTTTAGTTATCGCCCCTTCTACCCCCAAGATATAGGGATCCTGTTGGGAATTGGGGTTTCGGTGGGGCGTTTTCCGACAAAAATCATGGCCAAGTGAATACAAAATACACCAAAAAAACACTAGAAAACATATAAACCTAACCTTTTCGGGGATGACCTACCCTAACCTGATCTAACCCTCGATGATTTTTACGTAACCAATCTCTCACCATACAAGGGAATCACTGTTATTTCTTACTTTATTGGCCTGGTACCGGTTCGTCGTCGGATTCTAAAAATGTTCCCTTGTAATCAGTGACGGTGTACGAACACCAACGATTCTTCGTTGTCTTGGGAATAAGGAACGAGTTACTACAATGGGGTCCGACTAACTACCCAAATGTAGCCGCACAAGTCAAATAATGGTCCTACATGAATAAATCGGACTGCCAATCACTTCTCGACTGGTATTTGGTGTCACGAAGTCACAAAAAATTGGTAAACTTAATTTAATCTGAGTTAATAGATCGAGTGCATGTACCTAACCTAACACAACACAACTCAGATATAATTTAAGTTTACCAATTTTTTGTGACTATGACACCAAATAATAATCGAGAAGTGATTCACAGCCCGATTTATGCTTGTGGGACCATCATTTGACTTCATTGTGACTACATTTGGGTAATTACTCGCTCCCTCGGTACAAGCACGCGATATATTAACTCTGTTTAAATTAAGTTTTCCAATATTTTGTGACTGACACCAAATACTAGTTGAGAAGTGGTTGGCAGTTCAATTTATTCATGTAGGACCATTATTTGACTTATTTCCGGCTACATTTGGGTACATTTGGGTAATTAGTCGGACCGACTACAATACCAACTACAGTGACCCCTCGTTTAACGAACGCCTCGGTTAACGAACTGCCTTCCATAAGGATCTTCAATTCGGTTAACGAACAAAAATTCGGTTAACGAATTTCTTACGAACCGACCTCAACATGTTTTCGCTTGCACTGGCCGGGCAACCAGCTTTAGTATCAGTCCGCCAATACATTAATCGGTTCTAGGGCTTGAATTCCTTATTATTTTAGTAAATATCAAGAAATTTATACGATTCAATAATTTTAAAAGTTTAATATTAAATTTTTTAGTCATTTTAACAGTTATTGAATATAATTGAAGGTAAAGTGACTAGTTTAATGCGCGGCATCCAGCCTCTTAACACAGCAAACAGGCGTTAGTCTCTCTCTGTTTTCACTGGAGGTAACATCTTGCTTGAGACTCTCTTCAACTAAATGCTTTTTTTCTGTGTTTCCAAGCAAATTATTGGTCATTTTGAAATATATTTTACATATTGACAATATATAATGCAGTGCAGTGTAGATTTAAAGAAAATAATCTTGAAATACACCAAGAGAACTAAAATTTTATGGGTGAAATGGTGCCATGGGGTGACTTCTCTTCCACCCCAATGCCTTCTCTTCTTCCTTCTCCTTCACCCCCATTCTAATTCCCATCATCATCATCATCCAGGAGCCTTCTACATACACTCCTCAAAGTAAGTGAACTTTTCTACCATTTTTGTTGAATTTAGGAAATTTTCGGTGAGCTGGAACCAATTACCCAAAAACCCATTGAAACAATGGTTTCGGTTAACGAACTTTTCGGTTAACGAACGACCTTCTGGAACGGATTGAGTTCGTTAACCGAGGGGTCACTGTATATTGGTCTTGACGATATTTACACTCCTTATTACACTTAGGACACTTTACTGAGGTCGGGAGAACACTATGAGATCTAAAAAATGCTATTGCTTCGTTTTTTCCCCAAAACGTGCAATAAACTCCGTATAATTGAAGTGACACTCATCTCAGACTTCCATGGTCGGAAATGAATTCGAATTTTGGGAATTTTTACTTTCGGACTTGAGTCCCTAGGGGTTGACAATTATGTTTTTCCAGTGTATTTTGGTGTGTTTTAAATGAATCTGACCTTCATTTTTGGCGGAAATTGTCCCCCCCCCCCCCAATAATGGGGGAGAGCCTGGGAAATCAGGATTTGGGTGGGGGAGAACATGAAAACGAGTCATCTAACCTAACCTAACCACACCTAACCCCCAGTAGGCCTAGCTTAAACTTACCTAACCTAAATGTTTCAGTGGTTTAAAACTTTGGAGCGCGCCATGTCCGAAAGTACGACACCTTAGTTAGAAGTGGACAGAATGATCATCTTTCTTGTAAAACTCGGCAATAAAGTTAAAATAATCGTAGGAGCACGAATGACAACCAACCTCTAACATGGCCATTGTCATTTATTTGTCAGACTGGTCAAATGAAATTCAAATCCGTACCCAGGCTGCTTCCTTTGAAAAAATTCAAATGTGATTGGTCGAGAAAAAAATCGCGTGATATCGATATATCATTGGTCATGACTGGATGGCGTCAGTCAATATTGCATATGTGTAATCCATAACTAACTCGATTTCACGCCGATAATATCTCCTCACAGAGACGAAGACTGAAAAGTATGTAAAATCAATTAAATTCAATTGTGTTGCTATTGGTAGTTTTATAGTAGTTCCCACAACTTTCATACCCCAAATCTAATATTATATTCGAATATTCGAAAAATACGTCTAATTTTAAGAAAATTTTCTTCTATTACGTTACCGTCGGAAACGTATAATAACGGAATAGCGCATGCCAAATCTTTCTCCATTTCTTCCTTTAATCTTCAGCCATTATCGCCTACCCGACCTCCCACTGAGCGTGTTCCCTTCATAAATTGTCATGTGTTTCCGTTTGTCATGTGGCCAATCAAAGTTTTTTTTTTTCCACCAATTAAAATGAATTGCGGTTTCTGCTTTTATATTTCGTGGTATTTTTTGCCCAATCAGATTCGATTGTAATTTTGGGTCTCATATTTCAAAATTCAGTATTATTTTACTTTCTTCTGTGTATTTATATATCCAGAATAACTGAACTTAATGTAACCTAACCATCCTAACCCAACCTATTTCTAACCTACCCGGTGGGTTTCACCTCCCCAGACCCCCCCTTTAGATTCCCGGATGACCGAAACTTAAATAATACCTGTACAGTGAGTTCTGCTATAACGCTTGTTTTGATAACGCGAATTTGCTCTAACGCGATTTATGAATTAGGAACGATATTTGTATAACGCGAACGCTTGTTTGCTATAACGCGATTTTTGCTTACTATTTCTCCAATTTTGTGGTATAAACTGTGAATATGGTAAAGAAGAATATCTCCAAGAAGCGTTCTGGTGATAGAATTCCCGGTGATGATCGAAAAAAAAAGGATATAACACTTGATGTTATCAACCTCAAAATCACCCTTCTCCCCCATCAAGTTATATTCATATTTTTTCAAGGTAAAGTGTTACATTTACTGTATGATTTCATTATTAGATATGAATTAACATTTATTTAGACTTTGCTAACCTTTGTGTTAGGCTAACTACTAAATTTTTTTCGATTTCGAGTAGTAATCTGCACCTAACCCTATTTTCTCCATACGCCCTGTTATTTCTATTGCGCGAATTTCTATAACACGATGTTTTACAAGAACACTACTATTGCGTTATAGCAGAACTGACTGCAAAACGGAAAATCTTTATTTTAAAACAAAATAAAAGTAAAAAAACAACTCGTTTTTTGCAAAACCAGTGACTGATTGGTTCTACATAATTATAAAACTGAAGAAAATAAGTCCTCCATTGTAGCTGTATTGAAATTAATGTAGAAAAATTAATATGGTTGTTTTAAGTAATGTTATTTAATGTTAATAAATGGAACAATGGAAGTAGCTAACAATTAAGGGTAAAAAAAATGAGATCACGTATGTAAGTGAGCACATGTGTAAACATATCGTCATTACTCTACATAAGAATATGAAAGCAACACTTATTTACTGTTCATATATATTTCAATAAATGTTTCTGAATTTAAAAAAAAATCTACCCACCAGTGGTAATAAAGTTGAAAACATAAGGACATCCAATGTTGTTGTGTGTGTGTTTTTACTTGGATGACGAAGGTGTATTTAAATAGGAAGATTTTAATTTTATGGGGTTTTTACAGTCTAAATGGGTATCCAAATATGAGAGCCTACTGTAAATAGGTGTCCAAATATGAGAGCCTACATATAAAGAAACGAACATTCCTGCATTTGAGACCAGCAGACAACCTTTAGCAATTCCTCAATAGATGGCACTGCCGTACCACCGCCATTAGTAAACAAACCGCACAGCAGCAAGGGTTTATTTTATTTTTTATTTTTTGCAATATACCAACAATATTAGTTAAATCAATAGTTTTATAGTACTGTATAGAGAATACTTGTAATTGTTAAGTACTGTAATGAGGTAACAGTCTTTGTAAGGGGCTGATTTCAAAAACCTCTGCTACAACTCATCGACTAGCATCCTGGAAAATGCATGGTAATTTTCAAGGTATATTTCTGTCATAAAAGGTGCGTCTTTTAAGCCAAAAAACTTTATCTTTACCCCAAAAAACTATCTTTACAATTTAATTGGGAAACAAATTGACACCAATAACGGTGGTTTTTGATGAAGGTCCATGAGGCATACTGTTATTCACAAATCATATTGGAACGAACTAATTTTATATTTTGAATGAATTAACTAAATTAGGCCTGCCATAATAGGCAACCCTAGAAAATAACACGATTGTTCAATTGGAAATCCATCGGACCTTACCTTCAAGATACAGTGGGGTATGTTATAACGAATCTAATTGGTTCTAGAACCTTGTTCGTTATAGCATTTGTTCGTTATAGGATTAATCCGTTCCAGGCCCCCAAATACAACCACTTAACACTGAAAAATATAATATAAAATTGTAAAAATTGTAAAAAAGTGCATAAATATGCATCTAAACCCCTGAAATAAAGAATATCATTAATACTTGTAATAAAAAAACAATAAATTAGCAAAAAAAAAAAAATTAAATAATGTTCGTTGTAGGAGTTTCGTTCGTTATAGCATTCTCAATTTTATAGGTAAAACCGTTCGTTATAGGAATATTCGTAGTAGGATCCGTTCGTTATAGCATACCCCACTGTACTTTTTTACCAAGTGTACCTGTATATGGTAAATGAAAAAAATATGCATTTTGGATGATACATTTGCTTCTTCGGCCAGTCTACAGGTGAGATATGGACTGCACAAATAGTTGCCAAAAGGGTTAATCAGTTAGGTAAAAATAAAATCGAAAATATTGCAATAGTAAAAGTATACACAATAGTAACCTAGGCTGACCCACTTGAAGAATCATCACCTTCAGAGTGTCCACAAGAAGATCAGCACCCCAGCCTGCTCTGGGGTGATATGTTAGGTTGGTTCATTTTGTAAACTAAAAAATATTTATATTGCAGTACCTGTACAGTACTGTGTATGATACGTTGGAAAGTTCCCAGTCTTGTTGAATGTCGACAACCTTTTCATGTCCCCACCTCCAGGAACATGGTTTGGACTTACACTATGTTAAAATAATTGTCATATTTCAATTTCATTGTGGCAAAGGAGGGTGATGATAACAACACGCAGGGAGTGCATTCCATGGATTTGTGGACTTTATAGTAAACTGCTGTAGTTTTATTTCTTAGTGGTTCTCCACAGTTCAGGCTTAGCTCACATAAACTGTGGCCTCAAAGAGGAATGGTAATGTTTGTTCAAATTGCATAAGATAATTTATTCCTGAGTAAAACCCCCCAAAAATGAGGCTGATAGTGTTTTCCTATATAAATTATTATTTAAATTAATTGTGTTTTGTGGTTTTGAGATGTCTTGTTTAAGAGGTCATTTTTTATGAGGAGGTCACTTCTTTGGGTTTGTGAAATCCATGTGCTTTGGAAGAGGAATTAATGTGTGTATGTTTTAAAGAAGCTCATCAGTGACTCCTAGCTCATGATTCCAGTGTTATAGGAATAACTCCTGGTGAGCTAGGTAGCTAGGTATTAACAAGTAGCTAATGAGCACCTCTTTAAAACTTGTACATATTAATTTGCCTCTTTTTTTCTAGGTTTGAGCGTGGTGCTGCTACATCGTGTTTGTGCTCCCCATAACTTTTTGTTCGTTGAGGCTCCTAGTACAAACTCGACGTGGGCTGTGGTCATTGTTTCTTTGCATTATATACAGGAAAGTTTCTTCAGACTAATCCACAGTCCTGTATAGAAAAAGTTCAAAGTTTACTGATATTTACATCAGTAGTTCCTGGGTAATAGTTTACCTGTACAGTACTGGTAAAATGAAGATGTCAAAGAGCAACTCTGGGTCAGGGACCGGTAATGATACACGAGCAGAGTTGGCTGAGCTTGTTAAAAGACGTGCTGAAATAGCAGACAATTTAGCCTTATTAGAACGCCAGATTCATGCTTTTGAGGGTTCATACCTGGAAGATACTCAGTTATATGGAAATATTATTCGAGGGTGGGACAGATACCTTGTTACCAACAAGAATACAAATGCCAAAAATGATAAACGGAACAGAAAGTTCAAGGAAGCCGAGCGATTATTTAGCAAATCATCCATCACATCCATGGCTGCTGTAAGAGGCATTGTTGAGCAAATGGGTGATCGATTGGGTGACAATACTGACACAAATGATGTAAACTCTGGCAGTGAAGACAATTCCAAGGACTCAGTTAATCCTGGTGTTAATGGAGACTCTTCTCGAGACACACCTATGATCCACAAGGTATCCAAGAGCTCGCATAAAATCAAGAAAAGTAGCAAGAAGAACAGACATCGCTAAATTTAGTTTCTTTGTCATGAAGAGTTGTTGATGGTGCTGTATGTCAGATAGTCACTGCATGGATCTTTTAGTATGATTGATAAATTGTTAATTGAATACTAGTAGAAAGTTGTCATATTTCACTGTATAGAAGGATTGGGAAGAAGTTTTATTCAATTTCTGTGATTAATGAGAATGTGACCAATTTAAACTTGTCACCTCAGTACAGTACTGTATCTACTCTGGAAACTATGAATGATTGATTCTTAAGAAAACTATGCTAATAGGGAAGTTATATGATGTATATTAAGAATGAAACTAGTTTTAAAGTAAGAACTACCTAAGTTCTTTCAATATTTATATTTTTGTAATTCATATTTGTTTAATGTTTACTAGTTTTTCCCTGATGGTATTTGGTGGTTCTTGTTTACATAAACTTTGCTCATGAACAAGTTATACAATGTGTATTGTGAATGAATCCAGTTTTAAGTAAGGATTATTTAGATTCTTTCAATGCTAATATGTATTTAATTCATATTTGTTCAGGTGTTTACATACTACCTACTAGTTTTATCCAGATATCTGTGGGAGTCATATTAGCTTGGTTACTAAGTGACTGTATAAGACTAACATTTTAAATTCTGTATACTACTACTTGGAGCCTTGACACGGTTATATGAATGCTAAAATCATAAATACAATAATACATAGGTACCTGTAAGTATATTGTATGGTACTGTAAAATTATTTTTAAAATTTGCTGATTGATTATATCATTCACCTTTTAATTATCACGGTAAATTAAAGTTTAACCATTAACACGTGAACAAATAGTTAATGCTACCTTTTGAATATGGTATTATAATGTTTGTTATCCTGAGGATATGTTAAAAGAATTGTTAAAGCTAAAAGAATTGTTAGACATGTATGACAAAAAGTACAAATATAATTTACTAAGCAAGCCAATAACCTATGTTTTCTTTGTATATCCTGTACAGTACTTCCATGTACAGTCAGCCAAAGATGCACCGACCCCACCCTGGGTCTCATGCTCGCAATTTTACCTGGCAATACCCCTGTACTTGGTACAGGAAGGCTGGATGTAAAGGTGATTGTTCTTGGTGGATCTGTTTTTGGCTGTATCACTGTCAGGATAAATATTTAACAAACCAAAGGTAGAATTTTTATAATAATAAACTAATTGTTATTTAAGGTCATGAGACGTTTTCAAATGTTTGTATATTTGCTTAAATAATGAAGGAAATTATATTAATGAATTGGCAACTCGACTACAACCACAGCTGCCACAAGATTCTCACGTCAAATTTTCTTCATTATTTAAACAAATATACGAACATTTGGAAACTTCTCATGACCTTAAATAACAATGAGTAGTTTATTATTATAAAAATTCTACCTTTGGTTTGTTTAATATTTATCCTGAGTGATACAGCCAAAAACAGATCCACCAAGAACAATCACCTTTACATACAGCCTTCCTGTACCAAGTACAGGGGTATTGCCAGGTAAAATTGCGAGCATGAGACCCAGGGTGGGGTCGGCGCATCTTTGGCTGACTGTACATGTTTATGAACATGATTTTTTTTGTTGTAGAATCAACTCAACACAAAATTAAATTATGTAAATCACAATTGTCTGATAAGGTATAAAAACAATTTCTGTAAAACTGTGGAGTCTTGGAACAAGTGATTAAAAATTAAATACTGTACCTCTTTTGATTATTTGGAATTTAAATTAGCTACTGAATTATGTACAGTACTGTACAGTAAGATCTTGTATTTTGCGAGTAATATAGACTGGAAAAATTGCGCCAAATTCAAATTCGCCAAATGCAAATACATAAACTAATGGGAAAAATAACAATATAGACTGGCCATTCTACATCAACCTCTGATTTTTCCCATTTATAACCTCCAAATGCTACAAATTGTGCCTTTATTGACTTGATTTTGCTTTCCAGAAACTAGTTTTTAGGCCTTCCTCAAGTAATTTAATCACACGCTGCTTATCCTGCATCGAGTACTTGGCAAACTTAACTCCCTTATGATAGTCCCGCTTCTCCTTTTCCTTAGGTGGGTCTGTCCCACCAGCACCAGTAGAACCCCCAGTAGAGGTAGAGGCCCTTATCTTGACTTGACAGGTGGTAGCACCACCCAAAAAGCACACAATAACAGCCCAGTCGGTCGCTAGGATGGCGCAGGCTAGTTGCGTTCTTGTAAACCTCTTACGTTCACCACCGGTAATTCGATCACCAGAACGCTTCTTGGAAACATTCTTCTTACCTTGTCTTTCCGTATTCATCGCTAACACAACAAAATTGGAGAAAATAGCGAAAATCACAGAGTACTTGACAGAAACCTCGCGATTCAACTGATCACGTGATGTAAACAGAGAGCGCTGGTGTAAACAATTATTAGTCCTCACTGCAAAACATGGTTTTTACTTATTCTTTTCATACAGTATTTATGGGTAACAGCTACATTTGCCAAAGAAAAAAAAGATTTTCTGAGTACAGTAATCCCATGTTTTTTGCATTTGACCATTCACTGTTTTTTTACTAAAAATTTTTATATGCTGTATATAAAATCTCCTTTAAAAACAAATTTAAATTTTGTGCCATTTTCAATATTCTCCTGTGCGGTGTGGCAAACAGACACCACCCTTTCCCGCCTCAGACACCGGCTGCTCCGAGTTGCCTCAGTCCACACGTGCCTACCGTACTGTGAACGCTACTGTGATTATGTGATTACCTCTTCTATTTGTCCTTGCACATGGCTCTGGGATGTAAGCCAGCCACATCAAAGGCAAATATTACAAACAAAGACTGAAGTGACCAAAAGATCAAGAATAGTGATGACCTTAACGGAAAAAACAGTTTTATTGGACAAGCTCGGAGGTGGTATGAGCTATGGTGAAGACTGACAATTAATTTGTGTCTTGTCAGAATACAAGTCTACAAGTGGAGCAATGTGGGTGGAAGAGGACTGGCTGTCTGGCGTGAGGGCGGGCAGTCGCTGGAACAGCAGGGAGAGGCTGGCAATGCGGGTGTTGCCGACCTCGGCAAAATATAAATTTTTTTATTTACTTGTACTACTGTAAATAATTTTTTTTTGTATATAACTGCATTTACATTTTTCCATTATTATACAGTTCTACAAAATGATTAGTTTCAAATAATGATGTTAGTAAATGCCGGCACAGTGCATCAGTGATCAGTGTGACCACAAGTACAGTGATTCCAAAAAGAATATTTGCGGTTTTGGCTTTTCGTGGGGGTTTCAGGAACGTAATTCCCGCGAAAAACACGGGATTACTGTACAGTACCTCTCAAAAAACACTTCACAAACATAGACACGGATCAATTGAACATGTATCGAACGTGAACTGTAAAACATTGCATAATCGCGCTATAGCCAACATTTATGAAAAAGTTCGTGTTTTACAAACAGCATTCCCCTATTCATCAATCGCATTGCAATCAATTTGCGTTGACAAGACACGCGTTGTACTAGAAATGACTGTAACTGGTATGAGGGCTGTGACGTCATTCAAGACGGTGGCCAGCATTCAGCTGGCTGGATCTCGCGAAATTCACGATATTTTACGCCTAATATAAGACTTGGTTACATTAGATAGTGCTGGCGAAATATGAGGTCTTACTGTATATCATTTGCAGTTTTGGTGCCTTTCAGTCCAACTGGGTCTCAAACCTTGTGTGGATCTTAAATAACGCCTCAGAAATTTTGATGAAACCTCCCATGCCAACATTGTTGTGCACAATACTGTACAGTACTGTATAAAATTTTTGTTTTGAGGTCAAATTCATGACAAAATTCCAAGGGGAGATTTTTGGATCATTGCTTGATCCACATGTTGAAGTAAAAGGTATAATAGAGTATGTAATACAGTAGCTTCTCATGTTTTGTAGTTATCAACATGCTTGCACATTTAAGACTTTGTGTGATTGGAGAATGGCATTGAGAAACTAGGAAAGGGAATTTATAAAAGTAGAGAAATAAAAAAAAAAATATTCAGTTGATTTTTTTAAGTTTTACCCTCACAGGGATGGTTGTAGTGTTATAGACAAGGTCTTATTTTATTAAAGCTCCAGGATATCATAGCTTTGATTGTTTCTAATGAAGTAGTACAGCTAAACAGATCAGCATTGTCTTGTAAAAGCAAGTAGCCATACTGTGTTTAAACTTGGCATACATTACACCTGGTAAAAGAGAGCCTGTGCTGTACTGTACTATACATGTGTACAGTACTCGGTAATAAAGTCCAGTATGTTAAAAACTTTACAGAATTTTTAACTTCTATATTAAGGCACACTTTTCAAGCACGATCTTGCTTAAACTTACTAACATTTTCCTTTTGTCAATATACAGTATCTGAAATTGTCCAAAATTCTATAATGAATTTGTTGTCTTATAGAAGACTATGAATAGCAAAAGATGGGAAGAGCAAGAATATAGAAAAGTACCAGGAAGTCTTTTATCATAAATGATGTACCTATGCTGTACATATTTACAAAATTCAGGTATTATACAGCACATTGGTACCAGTACAGTACTGTATACTGTACTTAATTAAATAATGTACAATATACAGTACCATTGTTTGTATTTATTTATTTATTTTTTTTTCAGTACTGTACTGTATTGATGATAATGGTTTTCTACTTGTCAATATGTTATACTAATGGCCATCTACTTCGAGTCATCTTTCTTCAGATATTGTCAAAAGTGATTTTTAAAGAGCTTTGAGTTTGCATGTGAAGTTGCGGGTTCCCCAAAGCTAATAAATCCCATAGTTGCTGTCTCCAGTAAGCTAAACTCTACCTAACCCAACTCCAGAATTAGAAATGTTATTTCTTACTTAAACATTATTATTTTTGATTAATTAAAAATTAATTATAAATATAAAAGGTTGATCTGTAACTACTCTGTACTGTATTCTACTCTACTCTATGTATGACGATAACCTGAGACAATTAACGTCCGTACGGCAGACACCCAACTCTTCAAAGGTACCTATGCAGTAACCATTTCAGAACTCTTACAAGCGTTACTATCTATTAGTGCCATACCTGCAACATTTATTTTTCAATCTGCAAATACCTGATAAAAATGAAGATTTACAGATAACTTTCTTTTCACATTTACTTCTGTTAACATCGCTGGCGGCATTGTAGCCAGTTTAGACTTGTCTCTGTAACCACCAGACTACTGGGCCAGGCTGTTGTTTTTCAACTCGTATTTTCGGGTAGATAAACGTAACTTTCTTCATTTATTTTTACTGATATACATGCACTCACCAGCCTTCATACATATTGTGAAAAGGTAAAAGAAATAATTGTCCTAAGCGCAAACACATAAGATTAATATACATTTCTTTGCACACGAGTTAGCTGGCTTAGTGGGGGGGGGGGGGACTGCTGGGCAGATGGTGTGGGGAGGCATTGCTTACGAATCATTGGAGGTAGCGTCGCCGTTTCTATGGTGAATAGGGAGTACGGATGTGTATGCAAATGGCAACTGTGTTAAACCTTCATTTGGCTTTTATTTACTGGTTTGGCAATACTACAGTATTTTTTTGGTTGTAACATTGATATTTTTATTTATTCCTCACATTTACTAGTACTGTATGCAGTCATGCGCCGGTTAACGTCCTAGATACGTTCTTGGAAACATGACGTTAACCAAAATGGATGTTGTCCGAAAGTACAGAAATCTATAGGATTTATTCTAATTGGTTCCAGGCACCCAACCCCAAGTTTCCCATTTTACGACCATTTAGACCCACTAAAAAAAAAAAAAAAAAATATATATATATATATATATATATATATATATATATATATATATATATATATATATATATATATATATATATATATATATATATATATATATATATATATATATATATATATATATATATAT